CTACGTGGATCATTACCATACCAACCCCGTGCTCGTCAGCTTTTGTAACATCCTGATCGTAGGCCACAGGGAGAGGAGGCTGCGGAGGTCCATCAAATATTGGTACCTAAGTCAGTCAGTAGGTATGTCTCCTGCTGGAACCTCCACCGAGGTGAACCCCAGGAAACCAGGACCCTAAGGGATGCCCTCCCTGCCTCCCCTCCTCCACACCACATGCGCCGTGAATCTTGCTAAGGAAATCTGGAAGCTGAGCCCTTAGTCAGCTTGCTATGGGACCCCTAAGATTTTACGTCCTTGTGCTGCCAACTGAGCTCCTCCTTAGCCCCTAGAAATGAGCTTTATTTCTGCTCAGTCCCCATTTATTTGAGACCCCACCCATCTCAGGCTGCAGGCCTAATGTTCTCCAAGATGGGCTCAGTTTTGCTTAATCTGCCGTGCTGCCTACCACAGGATCTCTGAACATCAACTCCTACCCCCTCAAGTCTCTATTGTATATTCCCGCCCCTTCCACCCCTCCCAGTGCTCCCAGCCCTCATACTCTGCTCTGCCTTCTGCTGCTTAGCCACGTTTGCATGTGCACATTCAGCACTGATTGCGACTACTGTGCCCAACACTGCAGAGACTCAGATCTGCGGGACAAATTCACTATCCTTCTGCCTTGCTCTGTCCCGGGAGTATTGGTCCAGTTCCTTCTTCTACACATCATACCTCCTGGGCAGCTTTTCCCACAGCTTCTGAGAAGGGCTGAGATAAGCTGCGTCCTACCCCCAAGCTCTCTGCTCTGACTCTATTCTAGGTCCCCGCATCTCGGAGAGGTCCAGGACGAGGTGGCTTCTTTTGCTAACCCTGATCAACAACCCCAGACTGGTCATGCTCAGAAAATCAAAGCTAGGCCAAAGCTCCGGGGACTTGAGCCAGTTCTACTGACGTGCTCATAGAGCCAACTTTGGCCTACAGCACTGCTCTCCAGCCATTCTAGGATGACTGCCCTGGAGAAAAGACCTGCCGAGACAGCAGTTGTCCTCTGCAATGTGATGGGATGTGCAGCCACTCTCTGCACACATTGCACATGGCACAGGCCCCTCGGGATGGCACCGGAGCTGAAAAAGCACATCTCAGGTCTAATTCACTCCTTTGGCAACATGATCAAGAACCAAAGAGAATTTCTGTTGGACAAATTTTCCCAATAATGATTTCCTCTATCCATAATTAAGAGGCAACCTTGGGGAGTCCCATGTTGAGAAGGACTTAGCTTGACTATAAGGCAGAACTTTCTGTCAATGAAGAAGGCAGTAAAATTTTTATATCAGGAGAGTTTAACCATTTGACACAATTTTTCTCTGGAAGGTAGTATGGTCTTAATCCAACAGAGTCCTTATTGCTTCCTCCTTTCCAGGCTTATTACAAAGCAGTAGTAATCACACATGCATCACTGGCATAGAGATAGGCATATGGACTGGTAGAATAGATTGAGTCCAGAAATAAACTGTATGTCTATGCTCACATTTTCAACAAATGATTGAATATCAATAAAGGGTCAAGACTAGTGAATGTGCATAACAGTATTTTGAACAAATGGTGCTAGAAAAACTAAATAGCCACACATATAACCATATTCAAGAATTAACTCAAAATGGAGCAAACCTAAATTTGAGAGCCAGAACTACAAAATTCTTAAACCAAAAAGGTAGATATCATGATCTTGGATTTAGTAATGAAACCTTAGATAGATAGAATATCCAAAACACAATGAAAAAAATATAGGTAAGTTCATAAGACTTAATCTATTGAGACTTCATAAATATAATAAACTTGTGCATCAAAAGACAAGATCAGGAAAGTGAAAGACAGCCCATGGGATGGGAGAATATATTTTCAAATCATGTAACTAATATTCAGAATATGTAAAGAATTTCTTACAGGTTGTGATGATTAGTCTTAAATGTCAGTCGGCTAGGTTATAGTTCCCCGTTATTTAGTCAAGCAAGTCTACAACCAGTGGACTTTAGAGGATGTTACCCTGGAAAATGGGTGGGTCTCAGTCACTCAGTTGAAACCTTAAAGGGAAAACAGGTTTTCCAGGGAAGAAGAAGTCATACTTCAGATCATAGTATAAAATTCTGTTGAGTTTCTAGTCTGCAGGTCACCCCAGAGGCTTCAAACCTGCCAGCCTACACAGCACAAGAGTAACTCCATGAGTTAAATCTCTTTGTGTACATCTCTCTATTCAGGTACCTATACACATGCATATGTCATACACATCAAGTGTATATAGACATACATGTTCTTATTATAAATATATATGTTCTTTTTCTCTGGAGAACCCTAACTGATAGAGATTTTTTATGCAAAGGCTGGTTCTAGAAGAACAGAATCTCAGAGCTTTTCTCAAATGGTTCTGGGGTCTCTAGAATTGGTTCTCTGACCTGAATGACTTTAAAGACACTAACAATCCTATTTCCTTGGTCAAAGTGGGCACTGATAGTTCATGCATGTGATGAATGACCAGCTTGGTGGCATTCCCCTGCTGGACCCCAGACACCCACCTCTCTTATATCTTATCACTCAGAGACCCAACTAGAATGGCTTCCACCCCCATGACATAACCAAAGCACAAGATTGAAAAGGAACACTGCCAAACAAGGGGTGAGAAGCTCTAGGGGCTCAGGCCCAGATACCCCTTTAGGACATATGAATGACAATACAACTGAGTGTGTAAACTGTCAATTGTCTAAGGCCATGGACCACAAAACCTCAGGGCCCCTCAAAGTCACCTGGGCCAGCAAGGGAGAGAGTCTTTTGTTGGACAGAAATACAGACACTTATCCTGACAAATGAGAACTCACCTATGATCCATGAGGTCCCAATCAGGGAGGAGTGGAGATGATGTATCTGAAGGAGAGGCTGTGAGGGAATTTCTGCCTTAAAGGAAATGTATGAGGAAGTGCAGAGATGCTGCTAAAATTCCTGGTTCATAACGTTAATAGGACAAGGCCCAAGTAGCCTCAAAAACTGCATCTTTCCCCTGGAAACAAGACAAGCAAGAAAGGGAGTTTGGAGGTCTTGGACAAGGATTCCAAGAGGATTCGAATCTAGGTAAAGGGTGGTCACTGAGTCCCTAAAAAGAACTGAGGATGGAAATGATCTTCCTCTGAACTTGTCCTTTTCACATACAGTTTAATCTCTTCACATTTTTTCCCTCACCCAGAGCTGATACAGTTCCAGAGATTGAACTAGAAAAAGTTCCTAATTTGGCCAAAAGAAACCTCAGTCTTAAGAGAAACAGAAATGTTTCCTTTCCTTCAAAACTGCAGAGAGGCAGTTAGTGTCCTGGGACAGGAAATGGTTAGGTATGTGTTTTTTTAAAGACACCCAAATTTCAGTGGTTGTTTCTCCACCCCTGGGAGAGGCAGTGAAGACATCTTCTAAAGACGGACCTATTCATACGCCATGACTCCACAATTCCACGCTCGGGCTAGCATCCAACAGAAATTCTGTATGTTCACCACGCAACAGAATGTTCAGAGCAGTATTATATGGTAGAGTTTCTCTAAACAGCAGAAAACCCAATTGTGCATCAATAATAGAAAGGACAAATAAAATGTTTTTTTGTATAATGGACTACTATATACAAATAAAAATGAACTCATCACGTTCAATTATGTTTGAAATTTACAAACATAATTTGAAGAAGTACAACATAAAAGTCCTGTGTGATCCCACTTAAGTGAAGTTCAAAAATAAGCAAAACTCATTCAGAAGTTAGACTATTTGTTAATCTTGGTGAAGAGAGGGCAGTGAGGGTTTCATAATTTCTGAAACTAAACAGAATAGCCAATTGTTCCAAAAGTTGTTATAGGGAGCATTTATTAGCAATCGTAACAGGGGTCCCTGGTGAGGGAAGGGATTCTCCCAGGAGTTGGGCACCCCCATGTATGGAAACCCTCAGCCAGGTTCACTGTCATCCACAGCATTTTCAGCTCTAGCCATGCAGGACTCCAGCTGGCTGTGTGGGAAAGAGCCGAACTCTGCAAGCCTCAGACCAGGCTATTTCGTTTCCTGCCTTTACCCAGGGAGCTGTCATCTGTCTCAACTATGGGTGAGCCCCTATGCTAAGGGTGCTAACTGTTGAATAACAGTCAGTAGGGTGTGCTTGCCCTCCTGGAAACACCTTCTAGAGCATGCTCTGAACTCCTGTAGCTGACAGCAACGAACATGCAGGCACACTGAGAGAGAGGAGGTGAGGGGTGAGGGAGGTAAGATGGATATCTGGGCTACCATCTCTGGTGTTGGGCTGGAAGTCTGGGAGGGCGCTGGGTGTGTGGAGACTGAAGGATCCAGCAGAAGAGTGGGATGGCAGGGGCTTAAGCAGGAAGAGAGAGGGCTTTGTTGAAGCAGGGGCTTCTGAGGTACACGGAGGCTGTGGATTGCACTTGGCGGTTTGTGAGGGGCCCCTGAATAGCAGAGGGGGTAGTCAAAGTTATATTTTAGGAGGGTTAAGTGGCAGTGGCTGGGTGGATGGCTGGAACTCAAAGTTCATATAAATTAGTTTTTTAATTATAATTCCATTCAAATCTTGAGATGAGAGTTCTTAACCCTCAACCTTATTTAATCTGAGCTAGAGATCATCTCCTGAGACATGCTGACTCTCATAACCAAGCATTTCCATGCTACATCCCAGTAGAGCTTTGTTTTAACCAAGGTGAGATAGATGGGATTTTCTTGACTATAATGACTCATAACTACACCACCCACTAGTTTCCAGGTCATTTAGTGTCTCTCTCGATGCCCCTGGCAGTCCTGAGGTGTCCCTTTGCACCAAAGATAGACCGGGCTGGAGCGAAGGCGTTCACTAGGAGTCACTCCAGCACTCGGGTCTTTCTGGATGCTAAGGGTGACCGCCTCCCTCCCCGAAAAGGAAGTGAGGGCGGAGCCAGCGGGACTCCCGCCCCTCCCGTTGCCTTGGAGACTAAACGCGTCCTGCTGCAGTTGAGGTTAGACCCGCTCTCCCGGACTCACCGGAGTGGTTTTCTCGGCTGGTGGGGGCGCGACTGGGCCCCTGGGAGAGGGGACTCCTTCCACTTGTCCAAACTTAGAGGGGACGTCCAGGGGCTGCCCCGTTCCTTGGTGCCGTCGGGGTGGGTGCCGCGAAGAGACTGCTGGATCTTTCTAGCTCACAGTTGGGGCCCTGGTAGAACAGTCGGGTTCAGGCTTTTCCCTCCACGTCTCCCTCCCTTGACCATTCTTGGAGGGGAGCAGGGGCCCTGGATCCCTGTTTCGTGACAGGGCTTAGGGGAGAGTTCAAAGCCGGTTTGAAATCTCAGTCACACCTTGGGTGCATTGCCTTTTCCCAGGAGAGCTTGAAGAGTGGAGCACATGCACACAAAAATCTTCTATTATTTTTTGTCCCCAAATTCCGCCTTGGATTTGCACCCCATGAGACTGAGACTCAGTCACTTTCTCAGGGAATTCAGTTTTGTTTTTGCTTCTTTGCCTCCTTCCTTATTTTTGCTTAAAATAAGAGAAGAGGGGGTCTCAGATCTGCTGGTCACCCCAGCTGGATGCCTGGGGGTGGGGGGGAGCTTGTCATCTGGGGATTACTTGTCGTGCGTGGGGGTGGGGGGTGTCAGTTATCAACCTCTGGGTGGATGTTACCCAACCCCAAATATGATTCCTGGAAACTGGATTTCCAGCAGGAGCATTCAGCCAGCGACCAAGATGTCCTCAGTGGGCAAGGTAACCAAAGTTCCCACCGGGAAATTCTACCAGCAGATCTTCAAGGCTGAGGTAGGTCTGTCCCTCTACTCTTTCTACTCCCCCTTTCCTCTGCTCCCCAAACTTCCCTCCCTCTGAAGTTTTCCTTACCGGAGAATCTAATGAAATAAACACTTCGGAATTGCTTTGCTTATTGGTTCTGAAAATATAGGAAAAAAAAATTAGACTATCTTGTCATTTTTTAAATATTGAAGTATAATTTGCATACATTATTTTAGTTTCAGGTGTACAATATTTGTATACATTGTGAAATGATCATCAGCTATATTATTGTTTATTGATAGTCCCCGTACTGTACATACTTATTTATTTTATAACTGAAAATTTGTACTTCTTTATCCTCGATTCACATTTTGCTCCCCAAATCTCCACTTCTCTGGTAGATATCAATCTATTTTCTGTCACTATAATTTATTTTGTCTATTTTTTTAAAGATTGCATATATAAGTGAAATCATACAGTATTTGTTTCCGTCTTTCTTTAAGGTCTATCCATGTTGTCACACATGGCAAGATTTCATTCTTTTATGTGATTGAGTAGTATTCCATTATATTTCCATATATACCACATCTTCTTTATCCATTCGTCCATTGATGGACACTTAGGTTGTTCCATATCTTGGCTTTTGTTAATATTGCTGCAATGAACAGAGGTTCTGCATATATCTCTTCAAATTAGTGTTTCATTTTTTCAAGAAAGTACTTGAAGTAAATTGCTGGATCATATAGTAATTTATTTCCAATTTTTTGAGAAACCTCCTTACTGTGTTCCATAGTGACTACACCAGTGAGAATGTTTATTCTTGAAAATTAGAAAATTTAAATTACTCAGAAATAGCCAGAGTTAATCATTGGATGCCCTGGGTCTTTTGCCTTTCAAAAAGGCATTTCTAATGTTTCTGTTTAAAAACTGGGTTTGATTCTATACTACTGTTTTGAAACCAGTTTTTCACCACCAACAGTATTTTACAGACCTTTTCAGTGTCTAAGGGCATCCATGTACTTGGTGCTTAGCGACACTCTCTTTGTTGATATTGGAGCCTCATAATTTATAACAGTAATACCCTCTTGACAGACACGTAGTTTATCAGAACCGCTTTGTTGTCTCTAAAATTAACTGCACAGACAAAACAATATCTCACAAGAAACACAGATTCAAACTCTTCCTTTAAAGTTCTATAATACTTATTTAAAAAGTATTTTCATTTCTACTCTGAGCTCTAAATTATGCTGATATGGAAGTTGTAAAAGCATAAAGAGACCAAGAAACAAATTACACACATAATTTTGGTCCCCTTAGTTTCTCCCAGTCATTTATTTATACATTTAAAAATTTGAGATCATACTCTATGATTTTAGTTATAATTTTTAATTCATGCTTTTAAATGGTATATTTTATGGTGTATCATATCATAGGCATCTCCTTATGACATAAAAATCCTTTGTAAGTTCATTTTTAACAATGCCTAATATCCCATTAAGGGACATACCATGTTTACTCGATCAATTCCCTATTATTGGACAGTTCCATTTTTCTAATTCCTTGTGATTATAAAAAAAAAGCTCTGGGATGAGCATCTAAATGGTCCTCATTAAAATTTCTTGAAAGCTGCCTCTGGAGGCACAGGGGTCTCCCTGCAGGGAGTGGACCCTGGGGTTGAAGGGCTCTCTGCAAAGTTCCTTTTTGCCAGCTGATTCCCACTTGAACTTCTAAGACTGCACAGCACCCTGAGGACACTAGGGAGTATCTGTAGCTCGGACCACCCCAAACTCTGGTCTTGGGTGTATTCAGATGCAGCTAATCCATACCCTGGCGGCCTCCAGGAAGCAGGCTCTGGAGCGTTCCCAGGCTCTGGTGAAGAGTGGCAGGAAACCCTTCATGAAAAAGACGGATATTCCTGAGGGGGAGATTATGTCTCATCGGCAGCGGAAGTGGGTGCACAGTCTACCCAATGACTGGATCACAGAAAACCCTGTTCTCTACAGGTAGGTTCTGGTGGCCAGGCCACACTCCCACACACTGAGGTGGGCATTGGAGGTGCCATTCCCTGAGATGGAAGCAGATGGGATGGAGCAGGGAGCTCAGGAATTCCTAGAAGTTAAACTTGAGACTTCAGAGCATACCGTTTCAGTTCCCTGAGCTCAGAGTCCCCAAGTAGGAGGAAAGGGAAAAGAGGGGAAGGGAATGAAAGGGGAGGGGAGGGGAAGGGAAAGAAAAAAAATCACCGTGTGCCAACCCAGTATCTTACAAAACCAGCTGGGCTGGCCACAGGTTGGGGGGAGGGGGCACCCTTGGGCAGGTGACTGGGTACCAGGAAGGTCTGGGCAAAAGAACAGGGGGCTCCCGGATGGGAGGGGACCGATTGTCCTAATGGGCGGGGTGCAAAGGCATGTCAGAAGAAGAGGATTTGGGGCAGGACGGGTCAGTGCCTCTCCGCCAGGGCACAGTGTTGGCGGGGCTCGGGGCCACCACCTGCCCACCCCTGGCACCTGGGAGAATGTAGCAGGAGCTGGACTTAAGCTCTTTAAGCTCTGCACAGACATAAACACATCTCTGGGACTCTGGAGGGCGGAGTAGGGGGAAGTCAGTTTCTCTACTTGCCTTTGTTTCATCCTTTCACCCCCTTGGAGCAGAGATCTGGGGGCTCTGGGCTTTTGCCAATGCTCAGAAGATAACCTCCTGTGCTCAATTGCCCTGAGGTAGTGGGATGGGAGTTTATTGTTCTCCTGGGCTTATGCCTCAGGGAAAAGGAAATGATCAAGATGGAAAAAGCTCAAGAGAGCGAGAACACCATCGCTGCCCGAGAAGTGCGGGGCCTCATGGACACCATAGGTAAGCTCTATTCAGCCTCCGGCAGGCCTGATCTGGGCAGGAGAGTACTGCATGGGTTTCCTGGGAGCTCTGCCATGGAGCACGTGAAGCCCCTGCTATGTTCCTCCACTCAGTCAGAGAACCTTCTCCCTGCCTTCTCCCCAGTGGGGAGCTGGGGAAGAGGAGGGACTCCTGCACAGCGGACTTTTCCAAATAACAGACAGTTAGCTAAAGGGTGTTTTCTGCTTTGTTGAGATAGCAGGGGTTTTCTGCAGTCTCTGCTTTCTTCCTCCATAGAGCTTTCTCTGAGTTTAACTTTATCCCAAATATGGAGGTTCTTTTCCCTTATGATGAAAAACATAATATAGGTTCACTGCATAAAGCAGAAAGTAAATGCTTTGCAACACTACCCTGGTACCTGCTAAGTGCTATACACACTTTGTTTACTCTTATTTGCATATGTATTTGCTGCTATAAAACTTTTTTAAAAAAACAAAAATTGTCCCTTTCTATACATACTATTTTGGAAATTTTTCCAGGTGTTTAACTCAATATGGGAGACTTTATTCCCCATAAGACTTAGGATCACGTTTGTCTTTATTTATTTATTTATTTTTAAAGATTTATTTATTTATTTAAGCACTGGGTACAGTCAGAAGTGTGGGAGGGTGAGAGAATTCACCAGAGCCAGAGCAGGGAATAGAACAGGCAGACTGACTGCTGAGGGGAGCAGCGGGCACAGCAGGAGAGTCTGTTGCGCCATGTGGGACCCTCGCTGGTGGCAGGGAATCGAACCAGCGCTGCAGAGGCTGTGGGCAGCTTCTCAGTCCAGCGCTCAACCACTGTGCCACCAGGGGAGGCCCGGATCACATTTGTCTTTGACTCTTTTTCCTGAAACCTCTGACGCTGGGGCCTGGTTTGGAGGTTCCGTCTCCTTTTTTACTTTGCTGTCTTTTCCTGGGTGCTCTTCCCTCACCCTGACGCTCTGAGGCCACCTCAGCACCTCTATTTTTCTCTCCCAGTTCCTGAGAGAACCAGCAACCTCACCTCTCAAGTGGAAAGAGACAGCAAGAGGAAGGGCTACGAGAGTGCTCTGGGGAACTTTAAGGAGGAGCTTGCTCAGGTTGGCATGGTAAGGACCCTCCCTCTTGCTCCTCTTCTGTTCGGGGGCTATTCTGAAGGTGGGCTTGGCTTGGCACCCTCCCTTTCTTTCCTCCCAGCTCAGTGTTCCTCAGTGGCTCTCCATCCTGTAGATGGAATCACAGTGGCTGTGTCTGAGTGGCTCATTAGGAGTGTAGCCTTATTGGGGGGTAACTGTCATTACCTATTTATAGATAAGGCCCAGAAAGTGTTGCCAGGACTAAGGCCAAAGCCCAGCCTTTGCTCCTTCAGTTCTGTCATACTAATGAGGGGTTAAAAGGCCTGCCCTTCCATTGACAGTCTGTACCAGCCTCACTTGGTCCCCTGTACATTTCCAGAGACCTCATTTCCAGCTTCAGTATGTTCTCCAGAATGTTCCCCGAATGAGACCCTTTTCCTCTTTCAGGTCTTCTCTGAACCCCACAATTCACCCCCTAATTTTCTCCGACTCACGTGGTTTCCCTTGATTTTTTGAGCTGGCTGTATACCCAAAGTACCAAGAAGACGTTCCCCCAGATGGCTCATCACCTTCTGAATACATCCCAGATGGACACGAGCTCTGATTTCACCCATGAGCTCTGTGGCTTTGGTCACACAACCTAACTGAGCCTCAGTTTCCACAGCTTATGTTACCTTGGAATTCTTTCACTGACCACTTCTTTAATGAATATGTGTTGAGCCTCAACCATGGGCCTGGCCTCATATCAGCACCTCTTCCATGGGCTGAGAGGACCGAGTGAGTCTGAGGAGAAATTCTTAGCATAGAGTAGAGGACCCAGCACATGGTGTTTGTCCAACATGGTGGCTGCCCTAGTGCTCTGCTTGTGAACTAATTAGCAAATCTGAACAACGTAGGTCTAGCTAATGACTATTATTTTTGACATGGGACCATAACTGGCACTTCCCCATTATGGGTGGGGGAGGGGGGTGGTGTACTCCCTATTACCCTGGGGGCCAGGGTAGATGATACACATCTGGGCGCCAGATGATACACCTTCATCCTCCTGACCTATTTTAGGAAATGGAACCACTCATCTTGGAGTCAGGAGCACTTCTTTTAAAAAAACTGACTGAGTCTGTTGAAGACATCAACCTTCTCTTCAAAGAGGTGGAGGATGGCAACTTTGAAAGCTACACTATCCAAGTAGGAGTCCCCTTGTGGCTGTGCCTCCTCCACCCTGGTCCTGCTCTTCCTTCCTCCATCCATTCTCCCAGCCCAACCAAAACTTCTTGGCACAGCACCTGATGGAGCTGTGGGACCAAGTGACTGAGAAGTACCTGTCTCAGAAGCAGGAGGTTAAGGAGCTGGATGAGACACTGCACTCGCTTGAATTCTCCCGGGCAGACAAAGTGAGTTGATCTGCAGATAGACTTTTGGTGATTTTCTCTAGTGGGATATTATGGGGCATCACCTATTATCTTTTATTTCTCCAGGGGGAAAAAAGAGTTATTAACTATGGTGTCTTGTCCTGTTTAGCTAAAAGCGGTGTTGAAAAAATATGTGGGAATCATAGAGAAAACTTCCTATCTCATGCAGCCAGACGTGTATAGGCTGATAAATAAAGAAGCCATGGTAAGTGGTTTTCGTGCACAGGGGATCAACCCATGGGAGAAGGAGCAGGACCCCAGGATGCCCCAGAGTCTGGTCAGTAATGGGCTTCTCAATGCAATACTTCCATGTAACTCAGGTTGGACACAGAGGTGCAGAACCAGAGTCTTTGTTCAGTATTTGCAATGGAAATCTTTTCAAAGCACATTTCATGCTTCTCCGCTACCTTAATCCCGGTAACCTGGTGCAGCTTCATTGGCTTGAGAGCTGAGGATTTTATGTCCACCAACTGAGCCATGTCTTAGCTACATAGGCAGCACAACTGGTGCTGTGCTCTGGAGATATCATCTTTGGCAGTTTGTGCCTCAGAAGTCATCCCACTCTCCTGCTCTGTTGTCTAACTTTTCTATGGTTTTTGTCTCTCCTGCTGCTGATTAAGGGTGCCTATTGCTGAGCCATGCCTGCCTCTTAGCTCTGTGCCCACTGGTTCCCCCATCCTCACCCTCGGCCTCCACTAACTGCTTTCTTTGGAGTAAAAACCAAGAAATGCAAGGTTGTTATGATGTCTCTCCATCAGCTGAGTACAGCCTGACCCCACTGCCGCATTGAAGGTGGATTCTTTCGGCTATGCAGAGGGCCACTTCCTTGCATGGGTGTCCTGTCTGGAAAGCTGAGCTGGTCAGAAATGGGCCTCCTGGCAGCATGCAGGGTGAAGGGACCATGGCATTCAGAACCATGATAAACTCCAGTCCAGATCTGTACCTGAGAGTCGTGAGCAAAGCACAAATAGGGAGTGAGCACAGACCTCCCTTTCCACTGCCCAGACATGAAAGCTCTCAAAACAATAGCCAATGCACCGAGAACTCCTATCGATAACATGGGGATGATACTTCAGTGTCATTACCTATGGGAGAATGATTAAAGAGACCTGAGTGATGGTAGCAAGAGTTTTTAACGGTGTCTGCTTGATCCATTAGGGCAGTCAGAGTTAGCAGTGCCTTGGTTATGTTTCATTGTTGGACTTCTCTGTATTTATTTTACTCATCATAACAACTGGCACTTGCTACCTGTCCTATATGCGTTTATCTCATTTGATTTCACAAAATGCCTATGCTATAAATAGCATGGTCTTTATATTGTGGCTCTGAAACCAGAGGCTCAGGAAGTACACTTTCCTCCAGCTAGTACACTCCAGAAGTGTAGCTGCCATCAAACCTCTGTTCCAATGACAAGTGTTACTGGAATTTCTATCCACTGAGATTGGTTGTTGTCAGCCTGTCCCAGGGCAATGGCTAGAGGGCTTTGGGAAATGTGGGGAGGCATTTCAGCTGTGCCAGTCTCTGGGGCATGGGAGAGGCCAATCTGATCTAAGGGGGCAGGAATGCTAAATGTTAGGACAGACCATGTAATGAATTGTCCCCACTGTCATGACAAGGGTCCCTAGAAGAGGACCATTGAGAGGAGTGCCAAGAATGTTCTAGCTCTGACTCCATTTGGTAATTGGGTCCCGTTTCTCATCATAGTCATATGTGGCTGGCCCCTGATGGCATGAGCACTCTGCTTTTGGAACAAATTTATAAGAAAAACAGCTAAACGCTGAGGGTCCACTGGAGCACTCCCCTCCAGTGAACTGAAATCACCTTCTATTTTTTTTTATAAGGACTTATTTATTTATGCATACAAGAGCTGGGGTTTAGGTCAGAGGTGTGGGGACGTGAGAGGATTCACCAGAGAAAGAGTGGGGAACAGAGCAGGCAGAAGGACCGAAAACACTGCTGAGGGGAGCAGTGGGTGAGACAGGAGAGGTCTGCTGTGCTATATGGGTTAGCTCTCTGGCTGGGGATCAAACTCCTGGTGCAGTGACTACGGATAGCTTCATAGTGCTGAGACTTAGCCCCTTGCGCCACCAGGGAGGCCCCTGAAATCACCTTCTTTAACAATCTGATGTGACCTTGCAGCTGGGTTGGCGCTCACATGTTCAGGGTGTTACAGGGCAATCCCAATGTAGAGTGGGTTGGCCTAAGTGTGGGTCCTCACTCATGCACTTAAAAAAAAGACTTATAATGAGACCCAACTGTAGCACACACAAAAGGGTTAAATAAGGGTTTATTTACAAAAAGGGGAAATGAAGAGAGGAATAACCCAGGGAGAAAGAGAGAGAGATAAATTGGTGAATGCATCCTACCAGTTCCCCTGAGCTGGGACCCCAAGAGTACACTGAAGACTGGCAAAAAACCAGCCCCCAAGGCCCACAGGTGAACTGAAATCCTCCAGCAATCCTCCCTTCAGTGGAAATGACATTATGGGATTTGCAGTCCTTGGTGCCTTGGATCTCCTTGGCCTGGGGTGGGGGTGGAATCTATAAAACCTGAGATTGTGGATTTCACTCAGGACTTCCTCTCCCTGGCAACAAGGGTTCAGTTAAGCCTTCAGAAAACATCCTTGTCCCTGTTCCATGGCTGCTGAGCACCAGGCAGTTTCCTTAAGTGCCCAGCGAACACTTAGCAATCTGTAGCCACTGCCCTGCTGGTTCACACTGGGTCCCAGTAGCTCCCAATCTGTACCTCAGCTGACTTCTCTCTCCAACTGAGCCTGTTCCAAAACCCCTCCCCAGACATCCCCTCCCCAGAGCCTCCTCCCATCTCCTGCCCTCCTGTGCCCTTAGATCATCAACCACGCTCTGCTGGGCAACCGGAGGGCCCTCGCCCAACTGTTTGTCAACCTGATGGAGGCCACGCTGCAGCAGGAGCTCGAGAGCCGCCGCCGCTGGCAGGACCTGCTCGAAGCATGGAAAACTCTCAAGAAGGAGTCTGTGGTGAAGAGTTTCTGGTCAGTGGCTGCCCACCCAAATGACTGGCACAGGGAAGGGGGTGGTGGTCTGCCCCCTCTTTGTCATTACTTTAAGGTGCTGTTGTTTTTCTTGCGGTAAAATTACTATGCATTCTTTAAAAAAAATTAAAATAGCTGAAAGTATCAAGAAGAAATTTAAAATTACTACAAATCTCTCATCACAGAGAGAAGCACAGCTGATATTTCACGTATTTTCTCCCAGGCGTTTTACATCTGCAAATGTAGATGTGTACCTCATTTTCTGAGCGCAGCACAAATTGTAAGCATTAGTCTGATGAGCTGCCCAATTTCCTCTCTCTACTTAGACACACAACTCTGTAGCACTGGGCCAAGGAAAAGACCATCTTCCAGGCTTTAGCTCCATCCTCCCCTCTGCTAGAAAGTGTACCAGTGAGGAAGGCTGAAAAAGGGCCCATCCCCACGCTTCCTCTGCCAGATGGGTCTTTGGTTAATATTGACACAAGGGTCCTGGAGATTTTGGCCAAAAATTATGGCTTGATTTTGCTAAGAAAGGGACACTTTGGGCCAACATATCTGAAAGTAACAAAGGGTGTCTGTCCATTTGTACTGCAGGTCTGGGTGCAGGTATCTGTGCATGTACATTTCCAGCGGGAAAGCACCAGATCTGGATCTGGTACTGGGGGTGAAGACAAAGTGTACCAAGGTCTGGCCCCACCTGTGCTTTCCCTGTGACCTTGATCAAGCACTTGAACATTCAGAGCCTTTCTCTCCCTACGCAACGCAGGCTCCGTGATAGACCTGCATTGGGATTTCTGTGACCAACTAGATACTGTGTGAAGTGCCTGGCCTGGGCCTGGGAGGTTGTTATAAATGTCACTCACTAATCATCCACAATGATGGCAGGAGCTGACATTTTCTGGGCAGTTCCCATGAACCAGGTGTGGTGCTAAGGACTTTGCTTTTAATATCTCGCTGAGTTTTCACAAGTTCCAGATGAGAAAGGCACTATAGTAATAGTACTATAGTAGCTGTATTACAGAAGAGGACACTGGGATTCAGGGGTGGGGCAGCGACTTGCTCCAGACCACGAGGTGGCAGGACCCACATCTGGCTTTGTGTCTGCTGGTGCCATGCTCGTAGTGCCAGAGCTTCACTGGCAATCCCTGGTTCTTTCCTCCCCTGCCTCCTCCCTCTCTCCCATTCCTTATTGTTCCTAGGGCCCAGGATAGGGAAGAAGTGTTGGGGAGTCATGTACTGATATAAGGGCACTGGAATTCTAAATGTTCTGACCATGGGTCTTATCCCCTGCCTCCAATCCACCCTGCTCCTCCTCTCTTCATGATGCCAATATATCGGGCCTCCCAGTGAGTTCATGGCCAATGAGAGGACCCAGACGCCTCCATCTGTGAAGAAGCAGCTGGACATCATGCTGAAGAACCAGGGAGTCCTGCAGAAGAAGCGACTGGATCATCTCTGCACCATCTGGTACCAAGGGAGGACTCACTGGGCAGGAACATCTTTCGGGTTCCTTGGGGATGCAGGCCGAGTCCTCAGCATTGATCTTTCCCCTGAGTCAGAAGAAACAACAAAAGCACTTTTCGTGGCACTGAGAATTTTATCCACCTTATTAATGTTACACCCATGTGAGAACGTTACTGCACAGGAGCAGGACGTTTCTGCCCTGGGAGAGACCTGTGGGGTCCCAGTAGTCATTGTATCCTAACAGAACTTAAAAATATTGGTGGTAGGGATGAGACTTGCTTCTCATGGCCTCCAGGAAGTGCCCAGGAAGAGGAGAAGCGTTTCCCAGCAAAGTGGCAGCCTTAGTCCTGCTTCCTCGTGGCAGCCCAGGAGCAAATGTAAGACTCAGGTCCCAGAGGGAAACGTAGGATGCAGGGGCTCTGTGGCGTCATGCTTGCTACTTTCCCATCAGTCAAAGCCAATCACATCACCAAGCCCAGCTCCCAGGGGTTGAGAAATAGACTCCTCCTCCTGATTGCAGAACTAATTATATTTGACTATTTTTCTATCTGCACTGTTACTGTGATTTTCAGAAGAGGATTCACTGTCCTTTACTTAGATAATACCCTATTCCTGGATATAAAGCTTGTTTGTGATTTTTTGGTGTGTATTTATAAACATTGCTACTATGCAACAGCCTTAATGTATAAACTTTGTATATATTTCATATTGTGCCTAGTAGTGGCTTCACTAGAAGTCAAGTGGTGAAAACTTTTTTTCCTCATTGGGAAAATTGCTTTTATTTTCTAATAAAAGCACCAGAAAGTCTCCAGCAAGCACCTTCCCTTCCTCAGAATTTGTGCAGATACTGTGCTGGAACTGCCATTTTTGGTAAGCTTAAAGGTGCTACCAATTTTGGTAAGTGAGCATCTTATCCAAGTGTGGCTTAACTTGTCTTTTTTTTTCCCTCCCTAGTGACCTTCTGCCTCCCAATTACAGTGAAGCTCAGCTGACTGAATGGTTTTCTTCTCTCAAATCCCTGAATAAAAACATTGGTGAGTGAGTCATGTGGGGCTCTCCAGAACTCTGTTCAGGTAGTAGATTTGTAGTGCTTATCAGTCATCTATTTGAGGGTCTGTTATAAACTCAGGCATGGATGGCAAGTCAGTTCTCGGAGAGGAAGACAGGGTGTGAAGGGAAGAGTAAACTCCTAGGGTTCACACTGGACCTCCAAGACCTTCCCTGACAGAGCCTCCTTCGCCCTGCATGCCAGCGATGCACTGTGACCCTGGTGATGACCTGGCTCAGAGGCCAGGTCTGGGCATGTGAGGTTAGAGCCCATGACCCGGCTGACAGGAAGATGTGGGTTTGACATCCAGCTCTGCGCTGTCCCAACTCTATGACCTTAAGGAGTAGTGGTCTCTCACGGCCTCATATTCATTTCCCCCAAAATAAGGATCTCAAGAGGACATTTAGAGATCCCCACCTTGTGGAGTTGGTGTAAGAATTACGTGCAGGGCCTCCCTGGTGGCGCAGCGGTTGAGCGCTGGGCTGCGAAGCTGCCCGCAGCCTCTGCAGCGCCAGTTCGATCCCTGCCATCAGCGAGGGTCCCACATAGCGTGCAGACCTCTCCTGCCACCCGCTGCTCCCCTTAGCAGTATACTTCCTCAGTCTGCCTGTTCTGCTCCCCGCTCTGGCTCTGGTGAATCCTCTCACCCTCCCACACTTTTGACTGTACCCAGTGCTTGTATAAATAAATAAATAGATCTAGAAAAAGAACAACAAAAAAACCCCAACACCAGTAGAAGAAAAGAAATAATAAAAACCAAAGCAGAAATAAATGAAATTGAAACTAAAAATACAATCCAAAAGATCAATGAAACCAAGAGCTGGTTCTTTGAAAAAATCAATAAAATAGACAAACCCATAGCCAGGCTCACAAAGGAAAAAAGGGAGAAAGCACAAATAAAAAGGATCACAAATGAAAGAGGAGAAATCACAACGGACACAGCAGAAATCAAAAGAATAATCAGTAACTACTATGAACAGTTATATGGAAACAAGATCAACAATCTAGAGGAGATGGACAAATTCCTACAACTCTACAATCACCCAAAGCTAGATAAAGAAGAAATAGAACACCTAAACAGACCAATTACAAGCAGCGAAATTGAAATGGTAATCAAAAACCTCCCCAAAAACAAAAGCCCAGGACCTGATGGATTTACAAATGAATTCTACCAAACATTCAGAGACGAATTAGTGCCTACCCTTCACAAACTCTTCCAAAAAATTGAGAAGGAAGGGACAATACCAAACACGTTCTATGAAGCCAACATTACACTAATACCAAAACCGAACAAGGACAACACAAAAAAGGAAAACTACAGGCCAATCTCCCTAGTGAACACTGATGCAAAAATCCTCAATAAAATTTTAGCTATCAGAATCCAACAATGTATCCATAAGATAATTCACCACGACCAAGTAGGATTCATTCCAGGGACACAAGGATGGTTTAACATCCGAAAATCAATCAACGATATCCAACACATCAACAAAAAGAAATATAAAAACCATATGATAATATCAATAGATGCTGAGAAAGCTTTCGACAAAGTACAACACCCATTCATGATAAAAGCCCTTGAAATTCTTGGGATACAAGGAACATACCTCAACATCATAAAGGCCATCTATGACAAGCCAACAGCCAGTATCATTCTCAATGGTGAAAAGCTGAAAGCAATTCCATTAAGATCTGGAACAAGACAAGGATGTCCACTCTCACCACTGCTTTTCAATATAATACTGGAAGTCCTAGCCAGAGCAATAAGACAAGAGAAAGACATCCAAGGAATCCAAATAGGAAAAGAAGAAGTCAAACTATCACTATTTGCAGATGATATGATAATATACATAGAGAACCCCAAAAACTCCACAGAAAAACTAATTCAACTAATCAATCAGTTCGGTAAAGTGGCAGGATACAAAATCAACACACAAAAGTCAGTAGCCTTCCTATACACAAACAATAAATCTGAAGAAGAAGAAATCAAAAAAACCATCCCTTTTATTATTGAAACAAAAAAAATCAAATATTTGGGAATAAATCTAACAAAAGAGGTAAAGGACCTATACAAAGAAAACTATAAAACACTGTTAAAAGAAATAGAAGAAGACACAAAGAAATGGAAAGACATCCCCTGCTCATGGATTGGAAGAATAAACATTATTAAAATGGCCATCCTACCAAAAGCAATATACAGATTCAATGCTATTCCAATCAAAATTTCAATGTCATTCTTCAAAGAAATAGAACAATTATTGATGAAATTCATATGGAATCACAAAAAACCCCGAATAGCCAAAGCTCTCCTGAAAAAAAAAGAAGGGAATGGAGGCATCACACTCCCAGACTTCAAACTCTACTACAAAGCCATAATCATCAAAACTGCGTGGTATTGGAACAAGAACAGACACACAGACCAATGGAATCGAATAGAAAATCCAGAAATAAACCCACAGATTTATGGTCAACTAATCTTTAACAAAGGAGCAAAGACTATGCATTGGAGCAAAGAAAGTTTGTTCAATAAATGGTGCTGGGAAAACTAGGTTGCTACATGCAAAAGAATGAAGCTTGACCAATACCTCACACCATACACAAAAATCACCTCAAAATGGATTAAAGAACTAGACATAAGACCTGAAACCATAAAATACATAGAAGGAAATATAGGCGAAACACTACGGGATTTGCACATCAAAGACATCTTTACAGACACATCACCCAAAGCAGTGATAGTGAAGGCAGAGAACAACAGCTGGGACTACATCAAATTAAAGAGTTTCTGACAGCAAAAGAGACAATAACAAAAACAAAGAGAAACCCCACCAACTGGGAGAACATTTTTGCACACAACACTAATGATAAAGGACTGATCACAAAAATCTGCAAAGAGCTGATGAGACTCAACAACAACAAAGAAAATAATCCCGTCAAAAAATGGGCAGAAGAGCTAAAAAGAAACTTCTCTGAAGAAGAAATGCAAATGGCCAACAGGCATATGAAAAAATGTTCAACATCACTTGTAATCAGGGAAATAAAACTACCATGAGATACCATCTTACACCAGTGAGAATGGCACATATTAAAAAAACTAGCAACAACAAATGTTGGCGAGGGTGTGGAGAAAAAGGAACTCTCCTGCACTGTTGGTGGGAGTGCAAACTGGTCCAACCACTGTGGAGAGCTGTGTGGAGATTTCTGGACCTACTAAACATAGAGCTTCCATATGATCCAGCAATTCCACTCCTAGGTATTTACCCAAAGGACACAGAAACATTAATTCCAAAGAGCACCTGCACCCCTATGTTTATAGCAGCACTGTTTACAATAGCTAAGCTTTGGAAACAGCCCAAATGCCCAAAAATAGATGACTGGATCAAGAAGATGTGGTACATATACACCATGGAATATTACTCAGCATTCAAAAAAGATAAACACATGCAATTTGCAGCAACATGGATGGCGCTGGAAGGGATCATGCTCAGCGAAATAAGCCAGAAAGAAAAAGAAAAATACCGGATGGTCTCACTCATAGCAGGAATCTAGAAAACTTAAATAAGGGACCAGGAAAATGAATAACTATAAGAAAGTGAAAATCAGAATCAACAAAAAACTATGAAACAGAGACACTTTTGGGGGGGTGGGGGGCGGGAGGGGAGGGATTGGGATCAGAATGGAGGGGTTGCAATTGTATGGGGAATATAAAAATAAAATTTATTATTTTAAAAAAAAATTACGTGCAATCCAGTGAACTTCAGTTGTAGTTCACACAAGAACTGCTTAATAATGAATGGTAATGAAAAAATTGCCTTAACAAAGGTCCTTAAACTGGTCCATGGGCTACTGTCCTATCTGTTAGTAAATAATAAATTTCATTGCAACACAGCTATGCCCATTTGTTCACCTGTAGTCTCTGACTGCTTCTACTCTACAATAGCAGAAATGAGGGGGCCTCCCTGGTGGCGCAGTGGGTTGAGCGCCATGCTATGAAGCTGTCCGCAGCCTCTGCAGCGTGAGTTCGATCCCCCAGCCAGCTGTGGAGATATCTGCATGGCGCGGCAGACCTCTCCTGTCTCACCCGCTGCTCCCCTCAGCAGTGTTTTTGGTTCTTCTGCCTGTTCTGCTCCCTGCTCTGTCTCTGGTGAATCCTCTCACCCTCCCGGGCCTCTGGCCTGTACCCCAGTTCTTCTATAAATAAATAAATCCTAAAAAAAATAGCAGAAATGAGTAGAGGAAACAGAAACTTATGGCTTGCACAGCTGGAAATATTTTCTATCTAGCCCTTTATAGGAAAAGTTTACCAAGCCTTACTCTTGAAGATGTATACTATTTCCATCTTCTTTGAGGCCTGATGAGGCCAGTGGTGTCATTGTCCCTGTGATAGAAAAGGACTCAGAGGCACAGAGAAGTAAAATATCCTGTGCATAGTGCACAGCAAATGAAGTCTCACAGCTAGATTTGATCTGGGTATTTCAGTCAGTAGAACCCACCATTGCTCCCAGGGCTCTCGGCTTTATCATTTCAAAGGTATTGTAATTATATTATAATACTGAAAGGAAGAGCCCAGAGAGCCTAAATAATAACAATGACAGCCATTCAGCAAGCTCCTCCCTGGGACAGGCATGTTGCTGGCCCTGAGAACCCACAGGCTGGATAATTCCTTGGGTGCTTTCAGTCCTGCACAGAAGCCATAGAGCAAGGAGTAGACAGGTCACCAGCTACGTGAGCATGTATTTGGGGATGTAGAAGGCTTTGCCAAGGAAGTGATCATATATGAGACCCACAAGGCAAGTAAGAGTTAGCTAATCCTAGGGGACAGGGACCTTCCCAAGGAGGAAGATTAGCATCACATGTGGGGAAGCTGAGAGGCAAGACAGAGCAGGGGCCATGGGGCCAAGGAGGAAGTGGCAGAGGTTGGAAGATGCCAAGGGGCCAGACTGTGCTGGCCATGTGGATAAGCTGGTGTGGACAAGCTGATTTATCCTGAGGGCAGTGAGAACCAGTGAAATTTCTAAAGTGGGAATGACGAGGTTGAGGGAGTGAGTGGATCAGAGGGGCACAGGAGTAGAAGCACAGTGATCCCAAGGTGGCTGGGGAGGGTCCATCACAGTGATTTCACAGTAAGGGTAAGGATGTGTTGGCCTAGGCAGCAGCCCTGGGGATGGGAGAAACCAGCTTTAAAGTGTCTCCATTTCACAAGAAAGGATGAAATGCAGCTATTTTCAACAAAATGGAAGGTATTTGAAAAAATTAGATGCAGCAAAATAAGTCATAATGATAAAAACAAATATTGGATGTTCATTTAATAGATAATTCAACAACGCAAAACGCTTTCAAAAACTACTGGGCATCAACCAACATCTTGAGGTCTCTGAGGTTAAGTGGGGGAGGGGAAGAGACTAGGAGACACAGCAGATGGTGGGGATGGGGGATTCGTCTCCTAACCAATCCTACTGAGACACTTTGCTGGGGAGAAGCTGCCTCCCTACCCCAGCAAAGGGAAACTCCCCTTTCTGATTCCTCCTTCCACCCTCTCCTTTCTGGAAGAGCAACTGACTCGTTCTGTTCTCCCACGCAGACGACTACCACATGAGCTGCATGATGCAGATCCACTTGCTGTACGAGGACACCTGGCAGGAATGCCTGGCCCAGGTGCAGAAGAGCAAGGTGGGTGCCTAATATCCCCTCCGGGCCTGCTCCTGCCCCCTCCAGCCTGGATCTCTCTTTTCCTCCCTCACACACCAGACCCTTGTTGACCTCTGGGTACATTGAAGCTGTTCCCTCTGCCTGGAGCCTTCCTCCCCAGCAACTCCTACCCAACCCTCCGGTTGTAGTACAACATGAGCTCCTCCAGATGCATCTCTTATCCCACCAATCAGAAACCTCACAAAGCTCTTCAGTAGCAATTCCCGATTTTCTGGGGTACAAAGAACTATATTGTCAAATGCCCTATCCTTGTCTTCCTGGTAAACCAGTGTAAATAAAAGCCCCCAAAGCCTAATCATTTTGGAGATGTTCTCGGCCCCACCTGTCCTGTGTCTGGAAGTGAGGTGAGCAGAAGGCACAGGGAGTTGCATGGTGTGTTTGGGTGCTGCCGCCTGTAGGCTGTGCCACATGTTGCCCTGGAATTTGACGGGTCCTGCAGAAAGCTGGCCGCCGGCCCCATCTGTTGATGACAAGTCTGAGTCCATAAAAGGCCCACAGGGCTCGTTTGCCCTGAAGCCTTTGGGACAACCTTGTGCATCTCAGTCAGATCCTTGGGGCATCAGGCCTCAGAAGGGAAGCCTGGAGAGAGTGTGGATGGAGGGAAACCGTGTGCCCTCTGAGGGCACCGCCCCTGGTGCCCACCCCTCTCTGCTGCCTGCTGCCAGGACCCCCTCCAGAGCCTGAGGGTCCTTCTGTGCCCATTCCCACTTTCCTTTGTCGGGCACATGCAGGGGATGAGTGCCAAACTAGCCACATACCCCAAGAGCACATTAAGTCTGGCAGAGGACCCTGGTATTCTTGTTCCGCAGCATTGGGATTCTACAGCCAGAGGTAAAAATGTTAAGTTGGGGGAGTTTGGTTTATTTTAGGTTTTGTGCATAAGCCAAGCTTTAATTACCCAGAAAGCCTGGTTATCAGGTGGCATAATTCAAAGTGACAGGAAATGGGAGCCTCTCTAACTCGCAGCAAGACCGGACAATGTGGAATGGTGCTTTATGCCCACAGGCTCTGCAGTAGCATGGTTCTGAGTTCAGATCCAGCCCCATCCCTTGGCGGTGCATGGGCTCCAGCAAGTTCCCTTGCTTCTCCAAGATTCGGTTTCCTCGTCTGTCACGTGGGGCTGATGAGAACACCTCTGGGTCATTCAGTGAGCCCACACGCGAGCCCCATAAAGACAGACCATTTCTGCTGCTGTGAGGGTTTCCCCTGAGCTTTTCAAGAACAAATGGGAGGCAGCTCTCAGGGGGCAGGACCAGGCCCCTGAAGTGAAGCCCCCTGGAAACCAGAGTCAGGCTCTTCCTTGTCCCCCTCCAGAAGCAGCTGCTGGACTGGAAAGCCTTCACGGAGGAGGAGGCAGAGAGCCTGGTGAACCCATCCTTCTTCCAGATGGTGGGGGTGCTCCAGAGCAAGGTGGAAGAGGAGCTGGAGTGCTTGGATGTGCGTAGCTGGGGAGTGGGGTGGGGTCACAGGAGTGTTGGCTGTCAGAAGAGTAAGGGTTGGGGGCTGCCACCTCTCCTGTCACAAGTGAGTCCACCGGTGCTGCACAGGGCTCCACATACACAGTCTTGGGCAGTGGGTGCTCCCCAAACCCTGCTGAGTCTGAGCACTGAAAGGCTATCCAGAGCATTAAGTACCCCCCACCCCTGCAAAGAGGACATTTTCTGTAAAGGGTCAGAGAGTAAACATTTTAGGGGATGCTCCTCAGTTTTTTGTAACAGTCTCATTGCTCATACGCAGTCCTCAGCGAGGTTGAAACAAATGGGTGCTGAACTGAAATTTGAATTTTATGTCATTTTCACACTAAATAGCTTCTTTTGATTTTTTCAGTCATTTAATAATGTCAAATCTGTGCTTGAGGGCCACACACAAAAAAGGCAGAGGACCAAATGTAGGCCACAAGCCACATTTGTAGACCCCTGACCCAGAAGAGAGCATAGGACACACATATTTTTAAAAGATGGGAGAGATGAAAATTTGAAAACAGACTAAGGTTTGACTCAGATGCAGAGAGTGCAGGAAGAAAAGATGCCCCAGGCCAAGGTCCACCTGAGTGCCAGGCTGGCATCTGGAGCAGACCCTTTTCTCTTCTTGGCACCACTCTTCATCTTCTTCCCATCAGTGACTTCAGTGAACATGAGCAGGTCTGGAATAGGACTTCAGGGTTGGCCAGTCTAGGGGCATGGCCCTGGCAGACTAGAAATGCTGTCCCAGGGGAGGGATGCCCATGAACCAAGGTGTGGCCTAGAGATGGCCTTAACGATGGTGCTCGGACGACCATGGCCTGCTCAGAGAGATGCGGGTCTTCCAGTGGCTGTCGAGGGACCCTCATGAGTGGGGCCCTCCTCCCCATTCTGGGCCAGGTGGCACTCAAGACTTCTTCTCTGGGTTCTTCCTTTCAGAAATCCTTTGAGGCCCTGGCAAAGAGAACAGAGTGGCAGAGCTTAGACCTCTTCAGCTACTTCCAGGAGGCCGTGCAGCTGTGGGAGGCGCATCAGAGTGACCTGTCTGTGCAGGAGGTGGAGCTTGAGAAGAGGACGGAGCACCAGCAGCAGAAATGCAGCCTGGAGGACAAGGTGTGCCCCCCGGCCCCAGTCGTCTCTGCAGCAGATGAAGAGAGGGCTGTACCCAAATTGTCGGTTGCCCGATGATCTTTCTCAGGGTCCATGAACTCAGGATTTAGGTGTTAAAAAAAAATGTACCCTAGGTGCAAATGTAAAACCTAAAGCTATAAAACCTGAAGAGTTGGGGAATTTAAGGCTCACCTTGGTCATAGGACCAGATGGGAGTAGAAATCTGCCTGAATCAGGTCTAGGTTTATGATGGGTTCCTGGATCCAAATGTGTCTATAAGAGGGCATGTGTGGGAAACAGACAGTTGGAGGGTGGGAGGCATATGAAGCATACCCTTTGCCCCCAGGACATGAGACCAGCCCCTCACCACCTGCCTTCACACCATAGTGGGTGGAAGAGACATACTCAGTATCTGATTTCCAGTGTGACAGGGAGGAACAGATGCCATGGGGATCTGGGCAGGGACCTGCCCAGATGACATGGGTATGAGAAATATGTCCCTGAGGAGTCTAGCTAAGCTGGGTCTCTAGGGATATAAAGAGTAGGCAGAGAAGAACATTCTAGGCAGAGAGTAGAACCCAGAGTCCCAGAGCTGTGGTGCCTGGACGTGCCTAGGCACCCGGACCTCACCCCCAGGGCCAGGATCTATGTGTGTCACCTATATTCTGAGCTCTGGAAACTCACGCCTGCCTCTCCCTGTTTTGCGGTTGGCCACCAGGCCGAGGAGGCCCAGCTTGACCAGCTTGTAGACCAACTGCGGCAGCAAAGCCTTGAGGAAATGCTGAAGATTCACCTGGAAAGGGCCAAAGATTTTCTAAAGACTATGAGGAGCAGGTAGGCTGACCAGACCCTGAAAGACAGAGAAGCTGGCCTGGAACCCATATTCAGGGTCAGAGGCAGCCTGCTTAGGAGCCCATGGGCCTTCCCTGCAGGCTCAAGAATAAAATATTGCTTCCAACTTTGCAGAGTGTTGTGGTCCTTGGCAGCTCTGCTCTCAACTAAGAGAGATGATTCCAGGGAGAACTTTGGTCTGGAAAGTTAATGGAGGGAAGCTTCAAGGCCATGTAGTTTAAAGGCCAAGAATATATCAGAGAAAAAAATGTCCTTCATTCCTGCCCAACAATACCCTTTCATGGACATATACATTTATATATAGTATATAAATATATTTTATATAGTATATGTATGGTTATTTACATAAAGATTGGATCATACTATGCAAATAGTTTTATAATGACAGATACTGTTCCATTTTTAAATGACCATATGGAATTCATTAGTGTGGATTTTTCTTTTTTCTTTTTTTTTTTTTTTGCTCTAGATTGCATTTATTTTTTTTTAAATAATAAATTTTATTTTTGTATTCCCCATACAATTGCAACCCCCCCATTTTGATCCCAATCCCTCCCCTCCCGCCCCCCCCCCCCCAAAAAGTGTCTCTGGTTCATAGTTTTTTGTTGATTTTGATTTTCACTTTCTTACAGTTATTCATTTTCCTGGTCCCTTATTTAAGTTTTCTAGATTCCTGCTATGAGTGAGACCATCCGGTATTTTTCTTTTTCTTTCTGGCTTATTTCGCTGAGCATGATCCCTTCCAGCGCCATCCATGTTGCTGCAAATTGCATGTGTTTATCTTTTTTGAATGCTGAGTAATATTCCATGGTATATATGTACCACATCTTCTTGATCCAGTCATCTATTTTTGGGCATTTGGGCTGTTTCCAAAGCTTAGCTATTGTAAATAGTGCTGCTATAAACATAGGGGTGCAGGTGCCCTTTGGGATTACTGTTTCTGTGTCCTTTGGGTAAATACCTAGGAGTGGAATTGCTGGATCATATGGAAGCTCCATCTTTAGTAGGTTGAGGACTCTCCACACAGCTCTCCATAGTGGTTGGACCAGTTTGCACTCCCACCAACAGTGCAGGAGAGTTCCTTTTTCTCCAGTGTGGATTTTTCTTAACCATCCCTCAATGGAAGCACTTTTTTAGGTTGGTTCTAATATTTCAATATTAAAAATAGTTCTCTGGAACTATCTTATATCTTTGTGCCTTTTTTATAAAAAAATTTATAAGGGCCAATCACAGAAATGAAATTGCACTGCCAGTTCACTGCAGTACTTAGATTCATTTATCTGGAGGCAAATAAGTAACTCTTGAGCTTTGGTCTTCTCATCTGAAAGAGAGGGGCCACAGGGCCATGAAGGGTTTGATGGGATAATGAGGGCAAAGATCAAGGACAGAGAGAGGAGAGTAGACGAGAAATGGGAACTCTTGTTACAACAACCAGAGAACTCGCTCATGTGCATTTACCAAACTTTCTACGAAGAGTTTTCATTCCCTGTGTAAAGAGAACAATAGCAAAGCAAACCAAGACCTGTTACTGTGAAAGGAAGCCTAAACAGCAGGTCTGTGCAGAGTGAAATGTCAGATTCCAGCCCATTTCGAGGGTCAGGACAAGACCCTGATTTTTTTCTTTCGTACATTATTCATTTTTGTACAGCACCTGATCTCTCCCCTGAGGTGTTGTCCCCATAACTCTCCCACCACCACAGCACCCATGAGCCATCACCATAGTCCCTTGTGCTTTCCCTCCCTGTTTTGACCCTTTTCCTTCCTCTCCCCTGCTAGATGCCTCAGATCTCTGATCAGCTTGCAAGTTTTGTCCTTTCATCTTTTTTTTTCTCCTGATTTAATTTGCTTAGCATAACCCCTTCCAGCTCCATCCATGTTGCTGCAAATGGCATGAGTTTATCTTTTTGATTGCTGAATAGTGTTCCATCCCACCACATCTTCTTGATCCATTCACCTGTTTTGAGGCATTTAGGTTGTTTCCATATCTTAGCTATTGTAAATAGTGCTGCAATAAACATAAGAGTGCAGGTTTCCTTTTGAATTAAGTGTTTTTGTGTCCTTTGGGTAAATTCCTAGGAGTGTAATTGCTGAGTCATATGGTAGATCCATTTTTAGTGTTCTGAGAAACCTGCGCACAGCTTTCCAAAGTGGCTGGACTGGTCTGCATTCTCACCAGGGTGTAAGAGTGTTCCTTTTTCTCCACATCCTCCCCAGCATTTGTTGTTGCCAGTTTTTTTCATTATGCCCATTCTCTAGGCTGGGGTATCCCACACAGCTGAACTCCCTTTAGACAGTGACCTTATTCCCCTCCCTCCCAGGCACGAGAGATCTCATGCCCTCCTGACAAAGGAAGTCACGGAGTACCCCATGATCATCCTGAAGGCGCTCAACTCCTACAGCTCCTCCCTCAGCAGACACTTCCATGTTCGTGAAATCTTTGAACAGGTGGGACAGGGGTAGTGAAAGCCCAGCCACTCATCAAGAAGCAAAGGGAAGAGAATGACTGCTTGTCCTGATTTGCCTCAATTTTGAATGCTGCCCTAAGCCCCTTCGGAGTTAGAGTTCAGGTCAGGGCATGAAGGAGGAAGAAGCTGAAAACATTTCTAAATGGGACACTGACTACCCCCTCTGCTACTCAGGGACCCCTCATGAACTCTGCCAAGCACAATCCATAGGCTGCTAAAACAGGGTGCCATGTGCCTCAGAAGTCCCTGCTTCAACAATGGTAGCCCAGATCCCCATCTCATCTCCTTCACCCCTCACCTCCTCTCTCTCAGTGTACCTGCATGTTGGTTGCTGTCAGCTACAGGAGCTCAGAGCATGCTCTAGAAGATGTTTTCTGGAGGGCAGGCACGGCTTCCTGACTTTTATCCAACATCAAGTGCCCTTAGCACAGGGGCTCACCCACAGTTGAGACAGATGATATCTCCCCGGGCAGAGGCGGGAAGCCTGAAATGGCCTGGTCTGATGCTTGCAGAGTTCGGCTCTTTCCCACACAGCCAGCTGGAGTCCTGCATGGCCAGAGCTGAAAATACTGTGGTTGACAGTGAACCTGGCTGAGGGTCTCCAATATGGGGGTGCCCAACTCCTGGGAGAATCCCTTCCCTCACCAGGGATTCCCATTCTGATTGCACCTTCACTCAGTGTTCCATGTTTTTCCCTTGCAGAACCTGGATGGGGAAGTCATTTTCAAAACCAGGGAACCAGGTAACACTTTCACAACTCAGTTCCGCTTGTTCCTGACTTCACTCTTGTGTTTGTTGCTGCATAGTGGTCTATGTCTGTATACTTGACTAGGCTGGGGAGGCAAATCCAGGCTACATTTGTAACCTATTTCTTCTTCTATTTGGGGGGCTGGTGATCAACAGAAGCACATGAAAAGCATTCCCAGGAGATAATGAGAAAACAGAAGAGAAGAAGGTGGTCAAAAGCAGAAGAGAGAAAAATAAAAATAACCGTAACAAGAGGAACAAGCTCTTCAAGTTCAGCAGAAGAAATAGGAAAAGATCAAGAAGCTGAGTCCTCCATAGCTGAAGAGATAGAATTGAACCAGCAGGAAGTCTTCATCCTGGGCGACGAGATAGATGATTTCCTAGAGAATGATATGCAGGGATCTGAAGAAATGCAAGTTGAAAAAGGAAGTTCCTTCGAACCATCTCTGAGCCAGGAAAATGTGATGGATCCAGAAAAGGAGGAGGTGGAGGAGATGAAGGAGAAGGTGAAAGAGGAAAATGAGAAGGAACAGGAAGAAAAGGAAGCGGTGAAGAGCAAAGAGGAGGAAGGAGAGGAGAAGGGAGACCATGAGAGTTTATTTACGGACAAGGTAGGCTGGCAAGATTCAGTTTTGAATGTGAGGAAACTTTGCTGTGTTCACTCTGAAGACCTTTAATACAAGCCAGTAGTGTGGGCTTCACTGGAGTATATAAAAAGAATTAAAAAGGTGTGCACCCTGGTTGTTTTTCTTAACAGGGATTCAATTCTTTTTTTTTTTCAAGATTTATTTATTTATGCACATAAAAACTGGGATACAGGCCAGATGTGCAGGGCGTGAGAGGATTCACCAGAGACATAGTGGGGAGCAGAACAGGCAGACGGACTGAAAATACTGCTGAGGGGAGCAGCGGGCGCGACCATGCGTGTTTTTCCCATGTCTGCCACACCATGTGGGTATCTTCCTGTCCAGCTGGGAATCGAACCCAAGCTGCAGAGGCTGCAGACAGTTTCACAGCTGTGCTCAACCCGCTGTGCCACCAGGGAGGTCCAACAGGGCTTCAATTCTTATCTCACAGCAATGTTTTGTTGTGTTTTTTTTTTTAATTACCCTTCTTCTCTACACATCCAGTCCTATGACCTCTTCCAAAGTCACCCCTCAACTATATGACTTTGCTCATGTTTCCCTGGTCTTCTCTCTTTGTCAGTTCCTCTTTATTGTGTAGATCAACTTAGTCTCTCCATTCCTTCTCTCTTCCCATTCTTTGATTTTATAACAAAAAAGACCCATATCTAAGCCAACAGACAGAGCTCTTCTTAGAGGGTAGGGAAGTGATTAATAAATCTTATCCTCACAACACCCTCAATCTCACAAAACTAAAACAGTAACTTGAATTCCATAATGATGACATTGAAAGACACTTTTTTCCTTTATTGCTGTGGGAGAATTGGCATATGAGACTTCTTTCTGAGCAGGATCTCAAACTCAAATGTCCACAGACATGTAATAGAAAAGAGGGGTGGAGACCAAAAACGAATGCCAAATGATGAAGACCATTGTCTTAGTACATTCAGGCTGCTCAAACAGGTTGCCACAGACTGGGTGGTGGCTGTAAATAGCAGAACTTTATTCCTCACAATCCTGGCAGCTGAGATGTCCAAGGACAAAGAGATTTGGTATCTGGTAAGGACCCACTTCCTGGTTCATAGATGACCATCGTCTTGCTGTGTCCTCACATGGCAGAAGGGAAAAGGGAGATCTCTGGGACACTAACCCCATTCACGAGGACTCTGCCTTCATGACCTAATCACCTTCCAAAGGCCCTACCTCCAAGTACCCAGACATTGAGGATATGAACCTAGGGGCAATACCAGCGTTCAGTCTTTGGCAACTGTGTACTTATTACTCAGCTCCAGCCAATAATGCCATGTGGGAATGTGACTCAAACTAGCCAGATTCTCTGAGTTTTTAAGAGAAATCAAATTTCTATTTGGAATTTCCCAAGAGTTATGGGCAATATTCAGCCCCCAGGTTTATAACCTCTGGTGCCTAAAACCCTGTGGTTTAGATCCCCAGGTCTGTTTGATGGTGTCAATTCTAAAGTCTTATTTTCTGCTTAGGCTGTAGCTGAGGAAGAGAGTGAAGAAGAGCTCTCCCAGGAGTTTATGGAGTCCTTTACAACCTCCAGTGGGAACACTTATTTTGTCTTCCTGCCCCTGGAACAAGAAGAGGAGAGTTGCAAGAAATCCCATTCCAGCCTTTTTGCTGTTCTCATCAACAACATGCCCAGCGCCAAGTTCCTAGAACAAGTGATCATTCCATCCAAACTCATTTTAGAAATTAAGAAACAGTGAGTAGAAATCCCTTTATTCATATTCTCTCATGCCAAGTTTTATTAACAAGCTGAAATGTTAAAACAAAAAGTTGCATTAATTTCATCTGGAAAAAGAAAATGTGTAGGTAACTGAGGGTAGAGGCCACACACACACACACACACACACACACACACACACACACCAGAATGTCCAGGAATTCCTTGTAGGCACAGATATCCTCTGTAAGAGTGACCCCTTCTGCCTGTTTTAGGATGCCATGCTGGCATAGGCCTTGTACATAAGATACAGCATAGCTTCTTTCCATCCAGACGAGATACAGCCAAAAAATACTACCAAAGAGTTTTCAAAAAGGGTTTTTAACATCCACCACAGTGTTCTGCTTGCTGCACAGCCCCACCAGCACTGGCATTCACAGTGTTTCTGTTAGCCATCCTCTTGGACATGTGCTCATGGGTCCATCATGGTTTGAATTTGGGCTTTCCTGATGAGTAATGGTGCTGTGCCACTCTTCAAATACTTGTTGGCATTTGGTTAACTTTCTGTAAAATGCCTAGTCAAATCTTCTGTCTTTTTTTCTCCCTGCTAGTCTGTCTTTTCCCTTGCTAACATGAAGGATTCAGTTAGTTTCGTATCCTATGTGGGTTTTTTTCCCAGATCAATATTTGGGAAGTGTTTACTCCCCTTCTGCTCTTCCCTTCTTACTCTCTTGGTGTAGTCTGATAAAGAGAAGCTCTTCATTTTTATAACGTCCAGCTTATAATTTTTGTCTTTATGGTCAGTGTGATTTGTGTCTTATCTAAGAAATCTTCACCTGCTCCAATGTCATGAGAATATTATTCTCTTATTTACTACATATGCTATTGTTTTAAACTTCTATATTTAGATTTAAAATCTACCTGGTATTGACTTGTATTACTATGTGAAGTAGTAACTTGGAAAACCAAGTGACCTCAGGCCATTTGACAAGACTCTCCATCCCCCACTGCACTTTCTTTACATCTCTGTATTTCTATTACCTTGCTTATTTGCTATAGCTTTCTATTATGCACTAATACTGACTGGTAAAAATCTTGCAATGTTGGTCTTCTCCAAGGTTGTCTTGATGGTGTCTTTAAAGGGCCTTTGATGCAGTCCTTTACATTTCTATATAAATTTGAAATCAGTTTTTTTTTAAAGATTTTATTTATTTATGCATACAAGAGCTAGGGTACAGGCCAGAGGTGGGGGCGGTGAGAGGATTCACCAGAGACAAAGTGGGGAGCAGAACAGGTGGATTGACTGAAATACACTGCTGAGGGGAGCAGCAAGCAAGACAGGAGAGGTCTGCTGCACCATGTGTGTTGCTCCCTGGCTGGCCAGGAATCAAACTCATGCTGCAGAGGCTGCGGACAGCTTCATAGGTGGCGTCTTAACTTCTTGTGCCACCAGGGAGGCCCTGAAATCAGTTTTTATAAGAAAACATTTGCTGATCTTTTTTATGTTATTGTATTGAATCTATAGAGAAATCTGGGGAGAACCAACATCTTAACAATGCATACCCAAAATATCATCATCGATTTTTAAAAGGAAGTAAGGTAAACTGGGAAAAATATTTGCAACTCACACCACAATCAAAAGATTTTATGTTCTCAATATATAAAAAGTTCCTAGAGATTGATAAGAAAAAAAGCAACTAAATAGTGGAGAAGAGGGCAAAAGATATTACTGGATAGTATACAGAAAAAGAACGTAAATAGTCTTAAACACTTGAATATAAGCTCAACCTCAGTGACAGCATGACAAAATTGTCTAATTCAAATGTTTGACGATGCACTCTGAGGCGATGGGGAAATTCATTGTTGGTGGGAGTTCAGCTGATCTTGTGATTGAATCAAGTCGACCTTATCTACCAGAACCACAGATGCAGTTTAGCCTTTGACTTAACAATTACAGTTTAGAGTATTTATTGCATAGAACTTCTTCCACAGTTGACATGTGTTCAGGGTTAACCACCGCAGATAGTATTATTTGGTAATAACAAACAGTGAGCAACCACCCAGTGTCTTCCAGCAGGAGTGTGGTTCAATGCAAGTTGGTATACTCAGACAAAGAAATATCATGTCATTGAAAATAAAAGAAGGAGTAGAGAAGGGGGAGCACTTATGACATCAGTGTGGGAGGGTCTATCCCTGGTCACTGTTGCTGGCAGGGCTGACCCGACCCTCACTGGTCTTTCCCTCAGACTTAGAGCTGGTTTTTTTGAGCACCTAGAGAAGTGGTTTGACCAGCGTTCCCTTCACACCCGGGTCATCGTGTCCACCAAGATAAACCAGCTGGAGTCAGAACTGGAGCTGTATCTGCACCTGCACCAGCCAAGAGCCCAAAACATTGAAAAGGACATCCACAACGTCAGGGCAGGTACAGGGCCTGGCTGGGGAGGCTGCCCTGCCACCCTCCTTGGTGTCTGTGCCACTGCAGCTCCCTGCTCACCAGCTGCCCTCCTCGGCACCAAACAATATTTAGCATGTCATCACACCATGTGAGACACATGGAAGGGCTCGCACCTCCTGGGTTGGAGAGAAGGTAGTACTCAGAATCCTCAGCCAAGATTTTTTTTTAGATTTTTTGCATTTTAAAAGAGGGCATTAGATGCTGAAATGAAGAATGTGTCCTGTTTTAACTATGTGGATCCTAGGTATACCTGCCTAATACACACCTGCATGGATGCTTTAGAGGCAAGTCTGACTCGGTGGGTCACCTGACCCCTCTGACTCCTTCCTTGCCTGCAGAAGGGGATGTTGCTGGTGGTAATTAACTCTCCTGGAAATGGTGCAGTGAGGAATCATGACCACCAAGTACAAACCACAGCCTCCAAAAATACCAATAAGTAATTTCAGCTTATAATTTAGAATGTTTAAAAAGAGGTGCCATTTCTCTCTCTTAGGCAGAAGACTCCATCAATGGGGAGGGGGACACACTCTCAGTTGGAGCCTTCAGTGACCCCTGTAACGTTTTCATTCATGTCATACTTCAAACTCCATTCTAGAACTGAAGCCCTTATAGAAAGCCTCCACACGATTCCACCTACCTCCCATTGCCTGGAGCAGTGAGGAGCTGGATCAAGCAACCTGGCCGGTGGCCTTGGGGACCTGCTTGACTGTTGTTCTCATCTATGTGCTTTAAGTATAAATGTGAATGAAGATCTCTGAAGGCTGCTTCCTTCCCCTTTCCCGGCTCCCTGGCCCAATGCACAGTGTGAAAATCGAGGCCAGAGAAACAAGTCCCAGAGTCATGCCATTTGTTTTGGGCAGAACTGGAACCATGGTGCCTTCACCACTCTAGGCAGTAGGGAGGTCAGATGGGGTGCCCTGGGATTGGATTCTAGTTAGCACCAGTGAACTCCTATGTGAGAACTCCTGAAGGCCAAATCCTGGTTCCTTTCACTCCGCCTTAGAAGTCGCTTAGAACTGAGGTTCATTGGAAACAAGCTGGTGCTAGTACAAAGGAACAAACTCACACTGCCCAGATTTGTGCTGGTTGCTTTCTCCCAGGCCCTCTCACTGACATCCCCACCTCCCCAACACCCTTCACCTGCCCCACCTGCTCCCTGTTGCTTTCCTGGGGCTCCCCATCTCCCAGGCTTTGTTCTTCTGTAGGCACAGTGTCTGCACCAGCAGGAACCCCCTGCGCACAGCCAGGCAGTGCCTCTTCTCCAGTTAGATGCCCTGGGGTGGTCTCGGGTTGGCCTCTCTGAGATCTGCGCCCATTCCCAGGCCAAGCCCTGGTGAGGGCAGCAGTGGAAAGATATGGGACCTTGACCTAAGTGCCCCCTGCTCTGAGGCTGTCCAGGAAAGGCATAACCAGAGGTGACTTGGGATCCCAGCACGCCCGTGTCCTTTTTCAGCCGAACTCTTGCTTCACCAAGAGCGGCTGGACAGCCACTGTGCTGGGGTGGTTGAGACACTGAAGAAGGAGAAGATGATGTTTCACCAGTTCCAAGAAGAGCAAAACATGAGGAGCAAAAACTTCCGCCGCAAGATTTATGACATGGAACACATCTTCTTGAATGCCACCAAGAGCCAGAGGTGAGAACCCTGGGAGCCTTCCCCTTGGCCTCATGGCTCTAGAATCCCAGCTCCTGGTGGACAAGAGAGTCAAGGTTTCCAGGCCCACAGCAACCTCCACTTTGCAGTGAACTTCTCTCTAAGAGTAAGCATTCCACTGTGTGAAACATTGGGCGGGGGGCTGAGTGTTGGCAGGGGTGAGAACAACCAGACAGAAAAGGTACACTTGGTCAGACTGCAGGGCTGAAGATGACACGTCCCAGAATGTCCACAATGGGAAATACCACTGCCCTCGGGGGAAACCAGAAGAATTTCCTGCCGGAGGGTCTCTGGCATAGGATGGAGGAAGGTGTGAACAGGTGGAATTATCCCCCCAGAGAAGGAGGTTCTGCCCAGCTCAAGGTAGGGATGTGCTCAGGGCAGAGCCAGGGTTTCAGAGAGAACATTCAGTATTTGAGATGGAAGCTGTTACCCAGGAAAGGCCTCAGCCAGATAACAGGTGAGGGTCCTCTTAGCCACGTGCACAGAAGTCAGGTGCATAAGGGGCAGCTGGGGCAGGGAGTGCAGTGGGGTATAAAGACAAAACTTATAGGGCACTCTTGCTGGAGAGCAGCCTGACACAGGAGCCAGGCTGCTGGGTGTGGAGGCCCGTGCTGGAAGGAAGATGAAGACCCACAGGACCTGGGGATTCTCTTACCAGTTTGGTGGCAGGAGGCAGAGAGAAGAAAGGGGTGCCCTCTGCTCTAGTACACTGAGTGTTCCACACTGGATCCTGCACACTGTTATGAACTTCCTTCCAATGCCTCTGCCACCCAGAAAAGGGGCCGTAGTTCTGGGGGCCCACAGCTAGGTGCAGTGTGTGGAGCTTAAGCAGCCTCCCAGGCTGCTCTCCATGCCCTGGATAGCGCCGTGACCTCTGTGTCCCCCAGGCTGGCCACCTGTTATCACCTGTCCCTCCTGTGTCCCCAGGCTGACCACTCTCAGCATCACGCTGCACCGGGAGCTGCTTAGCTACGTCGACGTCATCCAGGTGTCCCTGCGCAGCTTCCGACAGTACCTGGAGGAGAGCCTGGGCAAGCTCCGCTACTCCAACATTGATTTCATCAAGCAGTGCAGGTGGGAGCCAGCGTCCAGGAACTATTGAGAGCCAGTCTTGTTTCCCTCCTAATTTTTTGTGACAAAAATATCCATATTGTAAAATTATCCATATTGGCCATTTTAGGTGTCCAGTCCGTTCACAGCGCTGTGCTACCATCCCCACCATCCACTTCCAGAACTTTGTCATCTTCCCTAGCGGAAGCTTTGATCACACAAAACACTAACTCCCACTCTCCTTTTCCCCCACCCCTGCAACCACCATTCTCCTTTCTGTCCCTATGGATTGGGCTACTCTCGGGAGCTCACATAAAGGGAATCACACAATATCTGTCCTTTCGTGTGTCTGGCCTGTCTCGCTGAGCACAGTGTCTCTGATGCTTACCCACGTTGTGGCATGGGTCAGAATTCCACTCCTCCTTAAGGCTGAAGATAATTCCATTGTGTGAATCAGCCACATTTGTCATCCCACTGGTCCCTTGATATACTTGGGCAGTTTCCTTGCTTCTGTCCTTGAACTACCTGCATTCATGTTACCATCATCTAAAAGCCTTGTCAACGCCATCACACCATTTGGGATGGATGAAAAAGTTTCCTGTCTCATCAGTGGCTTTTATTTCTTCCAAATTACCTTCAGATTGTTTTCAGAGGGAGGCAACTTTTCTTCCGAAGAAATTGCTTCACTGTGTCGTCGACTAGAGAAAGAAACTTCCCGGATAGAGTTTGTGGAAAATGTAATCATGATCAACATGGAGAAGATGGAGAATGAGTACCTGGATCAGGTGGGTGAGCCCTGCCCTGACCTCCAGGCAGGCTTCCCGGTTATAAGTTGGTTACCTTAGCTATCACAGGATAGGTATTTCCAAGCACTAATGGAGCCTGAAGCTCTCTGCTTAAATAGTCCAAAAGTTCCAAATGAAGCCCCCTCCCTCACTTTTTAATCTTTCTTTATAGGCCAATGATGTCATCAACAAGTTTGAAAGTAAATTCCATAATCTGTCTGTGGACCTTATTTTCATAGAGAAAATCCAGCGGTTGCTGACAAACCTGCAAGTGAAAATCAAGTGTGAGGTGGGACTGATTCACTCTCCATCTGGTGGATGTTTGTCACATGCAGTTGCAAACAAGGCAGTGTCCCTGGTGCTGGGGGTACTCGTGTGTCTCTTTCCTGTGGGACATGCACTCCAGCAGAAAGACAGAGGTTAAATCATTGAGTCATTATGCACCAATCTTCCGGTAAACTAACTTATTTTGATTAGCTCTATTGGTCCTCCCAAGAATTGCATGAAGCAAGTGCTATTTTTTTTTTTAACTAAAAGCATTTCTTAGAGCTTTTAATATATGGATTTTATTGTGATCACTTGTGAGGCGCTATACCATGCATTGTTTTCCAAAATTATTTGATAACCAGATCCTGTACTTTAGAAATTAACCAGTGTCCTTAAAAACAATTTTTTGGAAATGTTATACTAGAGGATATTCTCTCACTTCTCACTCCCAGTACCAAGGTCATTGGGTAAAAATAGATCAAAGAGAATTACAGCAAGCTTGAACCTTAAGAAATCAAGGTCCTGCTGCCTCAAGCTGGAGGGGCTGATGCCAGATGCCAAAACTGCAGACTGAAGGATCTAGATCTGAATTCAGTTCTGCTGGATAGATTTTTTCTTTCATTTTCTTTTTACCTATGGGAGTTAAAGGCAAGGCCCATCTTTATCACATTTTAGCGATAAAGAAACAGGCAGAAAGTAATTCCATGGCTTAGGCAGTTACTTAAATGGTGGAGTCAGCATGTGACCCCAGGTATGACTGATGCCAGAAATCATGTCCTTAAACACGAACAGCCCACCCAGGCAACAAGAGGAGAAGAGGGCCAGGTGAAGTGTGTGGAGGGTGCAGGGGGAAGGATTTAGGCTAGACTTGCAATGTGATGCTCTCAAAGATGTCATGGAGAAGTAGGAATCACCCAGGCAGGTCAGTGGGGAGCAGTATCCTAGAGAGATCTGGGGAAAGTCCTGGGAGGCTGGAGTCAAAGGAGAAAGAGCTTGCACACACACATGCACACAAACACAAACACAAACCGGGGAGCAATGAGGCGAAAGAGTTGGCTGGGCCAGTCAGCAGGGCCTTCTGTGTTGGGCTCTTCGTGCTGAAATAATGGTCAGGGTGGTGAGGACCAGGAAGGGGTGTATGTGAGGGGAGCCTTCTGCCTGCTGGGTGCAGAAAGGTGAGGAGGTGTTAGGAGTGAGTCAGGCTGCTGAGACTAAGGCAGAGAGAACAGTGTCCTGGACAAGATGCCAGCAGGGACAAATTCCATTTCCACGGTCGAGTGGTAGTAGGGTGGTGGGATTTTAATGAAGTATGAAATATATAAATACATATACAATAGAGTACCAATAACATCATATAATATAGATATATAATATAAAGTTACATTGATAACATTTATATAAGATACATAATTATGTATGTTAATATATCACTATATTTATAAAATATAATATACAAATATATATAAAGTAATATATGCTTCTAATATATAATTTTGTGGCTTTATATATCAATTATAGCTCAATAAATAAGAAAACACTTTTTTCTATCTATGAAAATATGGGATAATACATGTATATAAAACATATATATATATTTATGCGCACAAACAATTATAGCCTCTTGCTATTTATTCAATTTTTTAAAGTTCTATAATCCCTAGAGTTTCACAAACACCATTTTGATGGCTTCCTTTTCCTGGATGTTGCTGTTTTTGCTTAACTGTTCCTTTTTTGGAGGAGCCTTTAGTGGCTTTGCCTATGACCACACAGTGCTGTGGTGAATACACTCCTCCAGGTAACTGATTAAGTCTGGGTGGCCTCTCCCAGGGCTAGAGTGACTGGCTCGGGGCAAGAAGGTCAGCAGGTTGTTGCTTTCCACGTGGCTTAGACACACACGTTCTCTCAGCAGTAGAACTTGAGGGTGTCCTCCTAACTTCTCACTAGCATCATAGGTTGCCAATTTTATTTTTAGATCTAATCTATTTGATGGCTAAAAAAACTTTTTATTTTACCCTGATCTAGTTTCTGATAAGATTGCACATATTTGTGCTGATTTTATTTTTTCCAGTGCTAATCCGTCTCTCAGATAAGGTGTTTTGCTGAACATTTTCCTGACCAAAATAAGTATTCTAGAAACAAATCTCCAAACCTCTGGTTTGTCTAGGTGGCAAAATCCAATTTGCAAGCCAATGGATTAAATTCTTCTCTGAAGCAGCTTCAAAGCAAGGTAGAAATGTGTCGAAATTCACGGGGAGATAAAAAAGTAAGTGCCCTTATTGCTGTGTTTTGGTTGGGCCATTTAATTTAATTTAAATTGATTGGCAACATAAAAAACTTAGTAACAGCTACCCTCTTAAGAAAAAAAAAGTAAGCTCAGTAGGTAATAAACTATGAATAATAAAGATGCATCATACTAGAATCATAAATGGAAATAAGATGACATCAGTGGTCAAGGTTTCTCTAGTACAGATGGCCTCTGAGCCCTCCTACTTAACCTGGTTTTAGCTGATGGAATTAAGGAAGGGGAGGGAACTCCATCGTCTACACTCCCCAGTGTCTCCCAGGCATTGGTATAGAGTCCAGGAAGCATGGGGCTTGGGTCTGACTTCACTGACCTCCTGGGTCACCAGGCATCCCTCTCCATAACTGGAACTCAACCCGGGATGAAGCACAGAAACCTCTATCTGCCCCCTGCATAGCCACGTATTGTTTGATTTTTCATTTGTTTTGCTCTTTGCACATAAACTTGTCCCGTCCATTGATATCAATGTTTTCTGTGGTTATTCGAAGTTTGAATTAGTGCAAAGTTGGGGGGAAGATTCTATGTGTGGTCAGCCAACTCCCTGGTCTGCATAGTAGGGCTCCTGCTGTTTACTTGCTTGTTTTCCTGCCACTGATGCCCATCTCTGCCCTTCTCCATTCCCCCTGCCCTCTGCCTCTCCCCATAATATTTTCTCAACAGTTCATGCAGCGCCAGACATCCCTGTGGAAGTTTCTCACATGGGCCTTCCCTCCTCTCCAAGTTCTGTCCTCTCTCTTCATTTCAGTGAGCATGTTGGTGGCACTGAGAGGACATTTTTTTTTCTACCTTTATTGCTTTTTCTTGCACAGTAACCCGAGCTTCTTGGAAAAAGTCAACACACACACACACACAAAGCGCCAAGTGAAGAGTACCCAGCCATCTTGTTCTCATTTTCTGCATTCATGACCATGTTGCGTATTTTCTTGTGAATGTTTCTACACATTCCTTGTGTTTATTTGCACCATAGCATGGGTGTTTCAAGGAAAGGTGGTTTTTCTATTTTCCCCCATGACTTGCCTGGTCTCACTTATGAACCCTACCAACTGGGGAATGGGGAAAATGAACTTAATCTGCTGTAACCCCTTCAGCATTTGCTCTCCCTCATTTCTTCACTTCCCACCCCCACTGCATAGCCTCCCTGAAGATGTCAGAATGTTGGGCAGGGTGTGGGGAGCTCACCCTCCTCCTGCCTGTGAGCCTGAGGGGACAGGTGATCTGCGCACTGGAGGAGCCCGGGTGGCACCTCTGCAGTGATCAGCAGGGAGGGGAGAGCAGAGCATCGAATGTGCAGTGGCATCAGGGCGGGCAGGAAAGGCAGAGGCCAGAGCCACGTGCTCAGGCTGCATGTGAGGAACACCTCTGGCGGCTGGTGCAGAAAGGTAGGGAAATGTGTGGGAGTAGGCTCCGGCAGAGGCGGAGGGAATCGTGACTGGCCAAGGGGCTGGCAGAGACATGTCCTAGTTCCACAGCAGAGGGGTGGGATGGGCAGAGTGAAGCTGCCGTGGAATGAAGGAAGCAGGAAGAGGCCAAGGCACCTCCTGGCCTGAGTCATCTGGTAGGTCAGTGAGCCATTCAGGAAATAGCATGTGAGGCCTGGCAAGAGGTGTGTGGGGTAGGTGGTGAAGATGAGCATACTCGCGGTTGCCTCTCTGCACACCTATGGAGCTTGGTCTGTGAGATGGCTGCTCTAAGGGTGAGGGGTGGGGCATGTGTTTGATGTGGTCCTGGAGATGGTGAGTTGACCCATCTGAAAGGCTGTGGCTGCTTCACCCCTGCTCATCCTCGCTACCTTGGGCCAAACAGTTTCTTCTACACATAGAATGTCAGAGACAGAAGAGATCATAGGGAATGCTCTGTGTCCCCACCATGCAGGTGGGAGACTGACTTGAGTGAAGTTAACTCATTTACTCATAACAAACCCAGAGAAGCAGCAAGAGAACTTCTAGTCATGGAAGGAGCCACTATCTGCGTGCAGCTGCCCGTGAGAGGAATCCTAGCATCCCTCCAGCCCAAGACCCTCCCTGAGTGAGCTACCTCTGTGCAACCAAGAGGTGTGCTCACCAGCTAGCCTCTGTCTCTGCAGTTTAGGTGGAATCAGCCTGCCCTCCCATAATTCACTTCCTGTGACTCTCTTCCTCCATGTTCTCACCAGATGGTAAGCTCAGAAGACCTCCTTAACTTTGTCCAAATGTGGAAAGAAAAACTGAACCAGAGGATTCAGTACCTTGACTGCATGCTGGACATGGTCACTCAAGTGGTCTTGACTGTAAGGAATGGCATGGGGTGTTAGGACACGGTGGGTGAACTGTTGGGAGATCGCAGGGCTTAACAGAGCCTTAGGGAAGAGGGGATTCCCAGGGCCCTGCTGGACCTCAGGCCTACTGGGATGCCTTGGACATGTCCCAGTGGAGTCACATCTGGGTTCAGAGATGGTCTGCTTCCCAACACTGATCTCTTAGGAGACCCCTCACCTCCTAGTACTACCTTTTTGCCCCCATCAGGACCCTTAGCTCATGCTACCCACCAACTCTCAAGCCAGCCTCACTGCTTGGCCACTTCCTTCCCAACAGCACCAATGAGCAACCACTGGCTTCTCTCCACCCCACCCCACAGCCTCACTCAATGCCCCCATCTCTTGCCCACTGGCTGCCCTTATCCTCTTTCTTCCTCCCATGCTCCATTACCTGAGAAGCAACCAAACCCAAGAGGTGTGCTTCTGAAAAAGGCCTGTCTTCTTACCATATCACCCTCCTGCCCTCAGGGACCTTTGACTGGATCCTCACAGCAGCCTCATGGTCTGCCCTCCATGGTGTCTTCATTTCTCTGACCCCTCTCTTCCCAGGATCTCCTGGCCCTAGTAGCACATCCTGTTTCCCCATGAGCCCTCAAACAGTGCAGCAAGGTCTCCATCTTGGGGACTGTTTCCCTAGATTGTGTATCCAGGAGGGCAGAGCCTGTGTTGCCTTCACCCCACATTCAGTCCCTCACACATCAGGTTTGGAACATCAGAGGTGCTCCACCAACTTCTGGGGAGGGGAGAGTAAGTGGACCCTCCTCAAGTTTCACTGTGGCCATGCTGCAGCCCCTGCCTCTTACTGCCAACTTTAAAACCTCCCCTTCCTTGGGAGAGGGGGTGGTTTCCCTGACATGTCACCAACTAAGCCTCCATTGCACACCAGCCTCCACTGCACCCAGCAAGAAAGGACTCGGGTCACACTGGTCCTTCCCTCAGGGACTTGCAGAGCCCCCACTGAGAAGAGACCCAGAGTCAAATAAGGAAGAGCCTGACTGAGCCTAGCTGTGCTATCACTGTGAGCCACTCCGGCCTTTCATTAAGATCCAACTTGTGCGGGAGGGGCCACTCAGTCATCTACACAGGGATTCACGCGCTCATTTGGGCCAAAGCACTACCTGGCACCATGCAGGCAACCTCATGCATCCATGACCCTCTGTCCCATAGATGCTGGAACTTTTTTTCACAGCACTGGTCCCAGTTTTGACCAAACATTTTCTTTGTAGAAGAGCATGTTCAATGTCTGTCTAACTAGACCATAAGTAAGTTCCACGGGGACGGAGGTCTCATATGACCTCTTCACCCTGCATCTCTGAACCCAGGCCAAACCTTGCGGAGAACAGGCATACCAGGAACATTTTTTAAGGTCAGCATGTGAGCGTGAATGAATAAATGGCCCTCTGGAGGACAGACGACCGCTACCACTTTATAGCAGGGAAAACGGGCTCCGAGAAGCCAGGCTGCTGGCCTCTAGCCACAGCACCCTGGCAAGATGGTGCTGGAACGGAACCCAACCTGTCTGCCTTCCTGGCACATCAGCTGAGTCCACACATTCAGGCCCTTCTCTCTGGCTCACAGGAAAACATCCTGGACAACCTGGAGGTTGAGAGTGATGTTCTGGCATCTTCAGAAGTACTTGAAGAAGAATCCAAGGTAGATCAGATCATCCCTGAGTCCTTTGCCCAGCCAAGCCGCATGGGGAAGTCCATGATTGAAGACCCAGCTCTGGAGGTTCTTAAGAAAATTCTGCAGTGAGTCGCCCTTGGGTACAAAACAGAGCCCTGCCATCATGGCTCATGGCCATGGGGTCATGGCCTTTGGGGTCCCACAGACTGGGGTGTCCTTGTGAGCCCACCCCTGACAGCCTGTGACCTTGAGCAAGAAACTTCTCTGAAACAGGGCTTCTGTTAAGACAGATTCACGTGGCGGAGGGAGTTAACGAGGATGGTGCTCGTGGTCGCTGGGGGAAAACTTAACATCCTTTCCCTTGGTTTCAGACCTCCCATCTCAAAAGGCTCTACCCAACAGCATGAGAAAGATCGGTCCCAGACAGGTAGAGGCAAACAGGCCTGTGGGTGTCAGGGAACTGGCTGTGGGGAAGCTGCTGGTGCTACCTGGTCCATCCTCACCTCTGGTCCTCTGCTTTTGCCCTGGGCGCTCATCCTCTGAAGGCTTGAAGCGACATCGGAACCGGGGAGAACACTGCCTGAAGGTTATGTCCAGTGCCAGTGCCACCTCGCTAGGGAGGTAGGGATGCTGGGCTGCCCGGGATCTCCCCTTGCCACATCCCTGCCCTATTCCCTGAAATGAAGCCCAGAGACACCCTGTTGCTTTAATAGACTCTTTACTCAGGATGCGCTGCCTGTGCTCACAGCTCTAAGACTCCAAGGACCAGTGAGGGCCAGCTCTGACGAGCGCGGTAGTCAGATCTGGGCTCCCTGCTGCTGAGTGATGCAGCTCACCCGGGCTTCTACCTGAGAATCTGACTGTGAGTGACTGTTGGTGGATCTGAACCTGTTCACAGTGGTGGTTCTGATCATCACTACCCACCCCCACACGTAACAGAAAGAGGGACATAGGAGATGGCTCCCTTGGGTGCCATCACAGAGACGTAGGAAGAGCCTGGGCCTCTGAGTTTGCCCACTGTGCCCCATCAGGGTTGTTAGACTCACGGTCCAGTGAGGATGGGCCCTGCTAATCCCAGACACCAACTTTATAGAAGGTGGACAACAGAAGCCCCATGGCAGATTCAACTTTCTGGGTCTTCTGGGAGCCCTCATTGATGTGACTTGATTCTTTTTTTTTTTTTTATAGAGGCATGTTTTATTTATTTATTTGTTTGTTTGTTTTGTTTATACATGCACTGGGTACAGTCAGAAGCACGGGAAGGTGAGAGAATTCACCAGAGACACAGCAGGGAGCAGAGCAGGCAGAAGGACCAAAGTACACTGCTGAGGGGAGCAGCGGGCGGCAGGAGAGGTCTGCGCGCCATGTGGGACCCTCCTCCGGTGGCCGAGGAGCAGCCGGGGATCGAACTGCTGCTGCAGAGGCTGCGGGCAGCTTCGCAACCCAGCGCTCAACTGCTCCGCCACCGGGGAGGCCCGATGTGACTTGATTCTTGACTTTGAGAAAGGAACAGTGAGGAAATCCCTGCTTTGTGTTCCCCCACAAGGTCTTTTTGAACGTGATGCCATCTGTAATGTGGAATTAAACAAAGACCTGCTAAATGAGAAAAGCAAAGGCTGTTCATTCAGAGTTTGCTACAACAAGGAATCACCACTACTTTCATTCTAGCAGAGGCTCCAGGGCTAGTGGAGGAGGAGACAGAGTCACGATTCTGAAACGGGGCTTGTGTCAAAATAGATTCACGTGGTGGAGGGAGTTAACGAGGATGGTGCTCATGGCCGCTGGGGGAAAACTCACATCCTTTCCCTTGGTTTCAGACCTCCCATCTTGAAAGTGTGACAAAGATCGGTCCCAGACTGGTAGAGGCAAACAGGCCTGTGGGTGTCAGGGAACTGGCAGTGGGGAAGCTGCTGGTGCTACCTGGTCCATCCTCACCTCCCCAGGCTGCAGAGGGGAGGGTAAGGCTGCAGGCATGCCCTGGTTGGAGGCGGAGCCAGGGGAAGCTGGAGGCAGCCAGGTAGCTGCTGATGTCCTGTGATTGGCTACAAGTGTATATTTGACTTCTGCAATTGGTCCCAAGTTGGAAGCAAGGATGAAATTTAGGGCAGCTATCAGTTATTGACCAAGTCCTGGCCATGTGGGGCCAGTTGTTACAAGAGTTGTTCAGCCTGGCTGCTTTCAAGTCTGACTTGCCGTAGGCTGACTTCTCAAATTGTCTATTGTAGAAAAGGGGTTGGTTTCCTGGGCAGGTTTCCTGGGCAAGTTATGGGTCAGAGCTGTATATTTATATATGGTCCAGCCATTGGCCATTAGTATATTACAGAATGAAGTATGTGTTGCTTAGGGATGCCCAGCTACATTTGAATTTCAGGTAAAAACAATATATTTAGGAAAAGTGTGTCCCCAATATTGCATCGGACATACCCTAAAAAAGTTCTCATTGCCTATGTGAAATTCAGGTTTAACTCAGAATATTCTATTTTTATTTGAAGGACCGACAACTCTACATGTGACTCAATCTATTTTTCCTAGCGTCCTCATCACAGGGAAACAAGGATACAAACAAGGGCTCTGGCATTACCAGAAAGATATTCGTGGTTGTGTGCCATGGGTAACATGAATATGTCACACACAAGAATGCAATGAGGACTTGGGACCCCGAGTGGGGGCAGAAGCACTAGGGTTTTCTGTCAGTGGTAGAGCACACATCTAGGAGGAGACCCTTCAGGAGGAAGGTCTCCAAGCAAGGCGCAGCTTCGCTTTTGATTAACAAGCAGGGTGGCAGGGCCAGGCTTCCCGTGCAGTGGGGGAGCAGGAAGCATGCTCTAGTGGCACAGGTGCAATGGCATAACAGGCATTCTCATATGTCACACAGCTGGAAAATATAGGCCAAAACCTGCTCAGAGACAGGGTTTTAATGCTATTATAACACATCCCCAGCTACTGTGGGTCACTTTTGGTCTTTCTGCGCATGCCTTATGATCCAGCTCTGACCAGTTTGGGCTCAGGGTCCTGCAGCTTCTTTCTTTGATCTGCAAGGGGTCGGATATGATAAGTTATAAAAATAGCTGAAGAATGCATATGTTGCAAAAAAAAAAAAACCACCAACTTAGTAATAGAAACAATGGGTCAAAGAAACCTGCCGGGGGCTTCCCAGAGCCACCTCTGTCTCGCTGGCATCACTACTTCTTGGCCTCTCAGTGCCTTGGTTGGGTTTTAGCAGTAAGGGCTTCATCCCCACAGTAAGTTTTGCCTTCAGAGCTGCTGGGGAGGCATTTTGAAGGACTCAGCTCCAGACATGGGCGTCAGGTCCATGCAGGTAGGTTCTGAACTTCCAGCAACCCAGGTTGGGCTTCCACAGGCTCCGTTAGATGCCTGGGTCTGTTCCCACCTTTCAGAACACCAACCCTCCCTTGTCCTGCAGCTTCACTAGGCACACCAAGCCCAACCGAATAGACAGAAAGTACCAGGTGCTCGGGGAGAAGCCACCTCCTCCTTCTGAGTAAGTGACAGTGTCTTAGTCTTTATTTTTATCCTGTTGTTTCCATGGTGGGAGGAGAGGGTGTGGGCAGGGTGGGGGTGGGGAGGGAGAGAGGAGCTAGACCTGACTCAGATGAGATAACAGATGTGGTGAGGGGCACTGATAAAACAGAGAAGAGTCAGCGAGAGAACTGTAAGCTAGGTACCAAGCTGGTTTTCCCAAGAGGTCTTCGAAAGCATTGGCTCCATGAAGTCAACCTTAGTTACTTAAAGTTGCTTGGTCATATCTGATTCTCTGCATCATTCTCAATATGACATTCCAGTCAACAGTCTCAGTTACACATCAGTGTTTCTAAACATGTTCGGTGCCATAAACAAGGCCTCACAGGGATCTGTCTTGTGTGTTGCAGGAATTTTAAAGGGATCATCCTGAGTCTCCTGTGGGAGAGCAACGAGCATCTGCTGTTGGTCGCAGAGGTGAGGGCTGCCACCCACGGGCCTCTGCCTGTCCATCCCCCTGCCAGCTGCTGGCCATGCATCCTCAGTTGTCTCTGCCTTCTGCTGACAATGGCCTTGTGGGTGAATCTGAGGAAAGGGGATTCCAACCCCCATGACATTAGTCACCCAGCTTCCGTGATCTCATGTGATGATTTTCATCATAGAAACTGAATTTCATTCACTTATCTATTTATTCAGCCACCAAACACTTCTTGGATACTAAGTATCTATCAGGTTCTGGGTGTTCCAAGAGAAACACACCTGTCTCTGTCCCAGAAAAGCCAGCACTCAACAAGAGGGCAACAGACATGACAGCACCACAGGTGGGGCTGAGGGAACAGGCACCTGGGGATTCCCACTGGAGCTCCCCAGCTCCCTGCTCCAGCACACCTCACAGAGAGGTGTGTGCATTGTCCTGCCTGCCTCCCACTGGACTGTGATTTCCTCAGATCAGGGACTCCAACTCATCCATATGTGTGTCCAGTGGCCTAGGACCCAGCCCGGGGCTTCACAGAAATCTTTCAACCTTATTGCTGCAATGAGAATCCACTGGGTGTTGAAGGATGAATAGATTTCAGTATTTCCTCACTTGTGCCTTGCATGACAGTGGTGGAAAGGGTAGACAGGTAGGAGAGCAGCCCCAGCACAGGGGCAGCAGGTGAAAGGGCTAGGTGGTATCAAGGCAGGGTGGGAGAGTCCAGGAGCTTAGGCCAGAGTTCCATGGTGAGGGTCTCTACCTATCCACTGCCGTCCCTCTCCTGCAGGACTTCTACCGCAAAGAGAAGCGCTCTGTCACCAGGCCCGAATGCATGTACGAAACCTTTGACCAGTGTGCAGAAAACATTGGCAAGAAGACCTTGGAATACCTTAGTGAGACAGCTGAGTACCACAACTCCTGCCTTATAGGTGGGTGCCAGCAGCGAGCCTCTAGGTTAGCCCATGGGCCTGTGGGACAGGCAGCAGGCCTATGGGTATGGCATAAAGCCACTAAGCCTGGCCTGGGCCTCAAGATCAGGAGGGCACCCTCCAACCTGGATGTCACAGGCAGAGGCAGAGGCAACTCCCTGTGAAAAGCTAATGGATTATAATTAGGTAAAAACCTTGATCAGATTTAACCAGGGAGAAACAAAAATGGAAAAAAAAGGGGGGGGGATTTGTAGCCCTGAAAATGTTTGGTTCCTTTCACCGAAGTTTTGGACAGCTTTATTGAGATGTTCGTGAATAAACAACTCACCTGTGTAGAATGTACAACTTTATGAATTTTAGTTGGTTCAGAGTTGTGTGGCTATCCCCACTGTCAATCTTAGAGCCCTCTGTCCCTCCACCATGTCCGCTACTCTAAGCAACCACTAATCAACCTACTTTCTGTCTTTGTAGATTTCCCCAGTTCAGGCTTTCACACAAATGGTGTCAAGTATATGTGGTCTTTTGGGACCAGCTCCTCTCATTTCATACAGTGTTTCCAAGGTTCATCCCTGTTGTAGCCTGTATCAGCACCTCATTACTTCTTATAACCGAACCAAATGCCATTATATGGATACACCACATTTTGTTTATCTATTAATTCACTAATGGGTATTTGCTTGTTTCCACCTTTTTGGCTAATATGAATAGTGTTGCTATAAGCACTTGTGCACATTTATGTGGACATGTGTTTTCATTCCTTTTGGAATGACTAGGAGTGGAATTACTAGGTCGTATGGTAACTCTATATTTATCATTTAAAGAATCCTTCCACATAAGGTGTTTCTTAAATACCTACTATATGCCTGGCCTATGATGAACTTGATAAACCTAGCCTCCTGGAGAACAGGGTCAAGAAATCAGGTAGTTAAAATATATCTTGCCATTTATATTTACTGTAAGAACATTGGAGGAACAGTGAAAACATAGGTCCCTCTTTGGCCATTTCTCCATGTTCCTCTCCCTCTTTGTCCATAGTTATGTGTATCCTATGTGACTGTACATCCTAATTATTCCATTTCTAAAATCAGAGAAGCTGAGGGCCCACTGCAGACCTGCTGTGTTCGTTGATGGGTTGCATGGATGGGTTGCATGGATACAGAGGGAAAGGTTTAGAGGGCAGCCAGCCCTGGATGAAGACCTAGGACTGCTGTCTTCCAGCTGTATGACTTTAAAATGCTTGAAACTGGGTAAAGATGAAGGAGAAAAATTCCAGTGAGAATCTATAACCATAGTCAGCCCATATATGGCTTCTAAACCTGAAGTTGCCCTGAAATAAACCTCAACTCAACATTGATTTTGTGAATCATACAAAAGACCTTTGACTAAGAGTTCAGCTTTAAAAGATCTGGAGTTTGCCAGGGCCAGATGCTTGTTTAGTAGAGGCACTTCAAATCCTTTCAAGAAAAACCCAATTTCAATTCATGCCTTCTAGGATTCCCACAAATGAAATGCCCAGAATAAGAGCTTACAGGAAACAAACAAAGAAAACATACAAGCACAGGAAGAAAGTCACTTGGGCATCAGACAGCAGAGTGAGACCAGTAAAGACTTCAGATATATCAGGCCTAAAATATAAAATAGCATATTTATTAGCATTAAAAGAAGAAATTAGGAACATCAATAAGGATGCAAGAGACTATTAAAAAGATCAATTAGATACAAAAGAGAACCAAATAGAACTTCTGGATTAGAAAAAGAAATTGACGAGATTTTATTTTATTTTGTGTGTGTGTGTGTGTGTTTTTATTTTTTAATTTAAATTTTATTTTTATATTCCCCATACAATTACAACTCCCTTATTTTTACCCCAAGCCCTCCTTTCCCCACCCCCCACCCCCTATAGAGAGTCTCTTGTTCATAGTTATTTGTTGATTTTTATACTTTCTTTCTTATAGTTATTCTTTTTCCTGGTCCCTTATTTAGGTTTTCTAGATTCCTGCTATGAGTGAGACCATCCGGTATTTTTCTTTTTCTTTCTGGCTTATTTCGCTGAGCATGATCCCTTCCAGCGCCATCCATGTTGCTGCAAATTGCATGTGTTCATCTTTTTTGAATGCTGAGTAATATTCCATGGTGTATATGTACCACATCTTCTTGATCCAGTCAGAAATAGATGAGATTTTAAAATTATGAATGGCTTTACAAACAGATTATTCACAGATAGAGGTGAAATCAGTGAACTGGAAGGCAGATCTAAGGAAAATATTCAAAATGCAACACAGAAAGACAAGGACATGTAAACTTGACAGATGAAGATATATGCCTGAAAAGAACAGATCTAACTTATAGGTATTTAGAGGCTCAGAAGGAGAGGAAGAGAGGCTGGAGTCAAGACAATATTAGAAGAGATAACAAGTGAGGACCAAGCTGGTAAAGGCAATACATGTAAAATAATCAGGAAGGTCCTGTAGAGTATGGAACAGAAGACCTTTGAACTTATGTAATCCAGCATTTTCTCTACTTGTTTAATCACAGAACCCCTTTTCATGAAATAGCTATTATCTCACTGTAGTCCCAGTCTCACTTCAGGCTTTTGTTGGAGACAGTATCACAGGAACCTGGCTCTGTTCTGTCCCTCTCCCCTGACCCCTCACTTCCTAATTCCTACAGAATTACGGGCCCAGATGAGGAGATTTGAGGAACTGCTACCCCAGGTGTGTTGGCTGGTGATGGAGAATTTCAAGGAGCACCACTGGAACAAATTTTGTACCTCTACCCAAGAGATCAGGGAAGAGTTCTCGGAGTATCAGAAACAGGTGGAAAAAAGTAAGGTGAGGGCCTCAAGACTAGCCCTTCCTGTCCAGGATGGGGAGCCCTGTGGAGTTAGAAACAGAAGCAGAATATTGACAGTCCAGCGAAGGAGATGGGCCAGGATGGTCGTTGTTGGGTGAGGCCTGAGGGACGTGAGACATTTGAGAAAGTAGGGGTGAGTCAACAGCGTCCTCACAGAAGTCATTCGTTCATCAACTACTTGTTGGATTTAATGGGTGTCTCTCCTGGGTTCTAGGGGGCTTTGGTTATTGAGATCAACAGTGATTGCTTGGTGCTTGGGATGTGGATGCTGTTGATTTTATTGCATTACAGCCCTGACTGTGATGGGGTAGATGCTCAGCACACCCTCCCTAGCCCTCAGTGTCAGCTCCAGCCATGCCCCCATCTTGCCTTCTCTGCCATTCCTCTGCCCTTCTGTGCCCTTCACACACCAGAGTTAGAGCACACCCTCAGTCTGGCCATTGCCATAACCAACAGAGGACTGTTGGTCCTGACCTCAAGGCTCGATCAAAATCCCTGCTGATTTCTGGAGTGTTTGATTGAAGGATGAAAATGCCCAGAAACTTCACCCAAATCTTGGACACCCCACACATTACCAAGCAATGGCGTCTCTGTGTCAAATGGAAGAGAAAAGACAGGAAGATTTGGACGAGATGATTGCGGCAACCAGGGAGAAGCTGGAGGTCAGTGGTGCCATTGATTCCCAAGCCCAGAAGCTGAGAGCAGCACTGCCCTCCAGGGAGATTGCCCTACTGACAGTCCGTCAATGGCTCTAAGCATGCCCTCTGCTGGCACATTGGCTCAAGTGGGGCCTGAAAGCAGTTTTTATGGTTGGATATGGTCATTATTGACTATTTTAACTTGCATTTAAAAAAAAAAATCCTGAATTACAAAATTACTAATGAGAATTCCACAACCACCCGCCCCCACCCAAGATCCAGGTCTAGTTTTATTTCCTTTTTGGTGTATTGTCTATGTATAGCCATTTCTAAATTTTTCCCCATCTTTAAGCCAAGTTGCCCCTTAGGAGAGGTCTCTAAGTCAGGACCAGATGCCAGTGAATTTGGACACAGCTGACCCATGGCTTTGGTTTGTCTCACCTGCTAACTCTCCAAACCCTCCCTCTGTTGGGTTTTGGGGAAAGTTCCTTTCCCTGCAGCATTGGGCTCCCTGTATTTCCTCCAGGAAATGACCAAGAAGAACGGCCGGTTTTTCATAACCAGCTTGGCCACCTTCACTGAGAAGTTCCTGGTGCAGTTGGATGAAGTGGTCACCATTGATGACATTCAGGTTGCCAGTAAGTGCTGCCACTCACCCCAGAGGGTTGAGGTCTGACTCCAGGGGGTGGTGAGGTGTAGGGTGAGAGGCCTAAGGGGTCTGCTTTCCCCTACCTCCTCCAGAGTGAGAGAATAGTTTCTCCATTGAGGGGACTAATAAGGTTTTGTTTATTAAAAGTAGTATTTTTTTAGGGCCTCCCTGGTGGCGCAAGGGGTTAAGCACCACACTATAAAGCAATCCTCAGCCTCTGCAGCATGAGTTCGATCCCCGGCCATCCAGGGAGCAACCCACATGGTGCAGCAGACCTCACCTGTCTCTCCCACTGCTCCCCTCAGCAGTGTATTTCAGTCAGTTTGCCTGTTCTGTTCTTCACTCTGTCTCTGGTGAAGCCTCTCACCCCCTGCATCTCTGGCCTATACCCCAGCTCTTGTATGTATAAATAAATGAATCTTTTTTAAAAAAGTAAAGATTTTAAAGATTTATTTATGCATGCATGCAAGAACTGTGGTGTAGGCCAGAGGTGTGGGGAGGTGAAAGGATTTACGGGGGAGAGTAGGGAGCAAAACAGGCAGATCTACTGAAATACACTGTTGAGGGGAGCAGACAACAAGACAGGGGAGGTCTGCTGCTCCATGTGGCTTAGCTCCCTGGCCGGCCAGGGATCAAATTCATGCTGCAGTGGCTGGCAAAGCTTGATAAAGCTGTGACTTTAACCCCTGCACCACCAAGGAGGCCCAAAAGTAATATTTTTATGAGCAAATCCCAAATAAGTCAAATATTATGTGTAAAAATGAAATCTTCATGGTAAATATTTTCACATTCTTGAGGTCAGGGCAACTTTCCCAAGTAGGAGCTGAGAGCCAGAAGACATAAAGGAAATGGCTGACACTTCTGGGTAGCCAAAACTAAAAACAAGAAAAATATTAAAAGATGGAAAGACAAATGACAAACTTGAAAAAAACTTCCTAATAACCTATAGGTCAGAGAAAAGCCTAATCACCCTGTGATTCGGAGAACTCTAACAGGTCACATTTGTATGAAGAGACAAAAGACAAACATATGTCTTTCTAAAGAGGAGTGATTCATAGGTCCTATAATTACCTGGCTTCATGGATGATGAAAAATTTAATATAAACATTAATTTATATATAGACATTACTGTAATGTCATATAAACATTATTAAGATAACATTTTCCACCCACAACCTGGCATGGTTTTTAATTTTGATGATGACTAGCACTGGTGAGGATGTCAGAAAGCCCAAGCCCCACGGAGACCCTTGGAGAGGGGTAGAGGATGCTGCTCTTCCAGAGAAGCCTGTCAGTTCCTGTCAAAATTCTGGATGTGTAGTACCTTTGACATAGTAGTTCTAGCCCTAGGAATTACCGGACAGAATTTTTCAAAGGTACATTTTCAAGCACATATATATATTTATATACATAAATATAAAATTTATATATTTATATAATAAATATATATAAATTTAAATATATTTAAATATAATGTAAATATACATATACATATACATATATATATATATATTTCAAGGTATAAATCATAGCACTGTTTGAAATTGCAAAGAATTAGAGACATTGATATTTATGTATTGGGGAGAGGTTGAATTAATAAATTATGGTCCCAATGTGCATGTGGATGGCTGTTAAAGTGAGTGGAACTGGTGTGTAAGTGCCAGCATGAAAGGCATGAAGGAATACAGTTATGTGAAAAGACAAGCTGGCAATCAGTACTTACTTATGATACCATTTTCAAAAACACATATGTAATATAAACATGCATACTTACATCTGTGCAAATGAATCTGTGTGAGGGAATGAGAGAGACAGAGCTGAGAGACAGGGACAGCTGTGGGTGAGGGGTACCTCTGGTGGTGGGCTAGTGACACTCCTAAGTAGGTAATGATCAAATTTTTTATAATGTGCATGCTACTTGTATACTCTACAAAAATTGAAGTCAGATATTAAATGTTAACTATTTTATCACTAATCAATTAAAACTTTTTTATCTTTGAAAGTTTGTATTACAAAGATAATAGATATTTATTATAATAAAAAAGACAGTTCAATATAAATTACAAAAAAAAGTAAAGAACGCAGTTCTCCCACCAAGAAATAAATGCTTTTTGCTGTCCGTTCTTCCAGTCCTTTTTGTTAGGCCCAGGTCTGTGGGTGCTGTGTGTGTGAGTGTGTGTGTGTGTGTGTGTGTGTGCATGCGTGCTCCCAACCAGTGGGGGAAACATTGACCAATCCAGTCGATTACCTTGACCGTTCTCAGTTGCTGAGCATTGTGATAATTGATTAGCCCTCTCCTGCTGAACACGGACCACTTCAGTGATAGTGCTGAAAGGGACATCTGCATCCACATATTTCTGTTTGGGGCAAGAGATTCCTAGGAGTGGACTTAGTAGGTCAAAATGTATATGTATTTTTAGGTATTGATCACTTCTCAATACTGAAATATCTTCATAGAGAAGTGTGAGCTTTGTTTGGAAAAATGGGACTTGCAGAGACACTGGGGTTGAGATCCAAGGGAGCATGGGCAGAGGACTGGCTGGGGAGGTCAAGAACTATACCTTGGAAGGAAACACTGAGCTGGGAGGAGCCCCTGCACCTAGTCCAAGGAGCCCTCTCCTGCTCTGTGTCCTCTGAGCCAAGCAGCCAGACCCTGCCCTTCATTGCAGACCAGGCTGCCACTCTCACTCCAGTCAGGAAAGCATGTCCAAGGGCGTGTCAGCAGGAGGGACGTTAGAAGGTCAACCTTGAATGTGTTCATCTATGGGTACTTCTTAATTCCAGATCCATTTGAGCTAGTGAAAGCCAACGCAGGCTTTACCCAGCTATCAGGGGCTGATGGAAGCAGTGAAGGCAGAGCATTATGCTCGGGGCTTTGGAGGTGGGAACAGTACCCAAATCACAGCTCAGGTCCTCTGACCACTGTCACCATCCCTCGTTCCCCCAACCTATCTGACGTATTCAGTCTCTTGGGGTGGGGGGCATTGCTTCCTGCTGGAGACTCTGAGTGATGACTCCAAGTAATCTCTCTTTCCTGCCAGAGATGGAGCCCCCCAAACAGAAAACATCAATCCTCATACGGAGGAAACTCGCCGGACACTCCCTAAAGGAAGAGAGTGAGAAGCCCCTAATTGAACGTGGGAGCAGGTGAGCACTAAATCCCATGAATGGCTGCATTTGCCTGGGAGGGGGAGGAGAAATAATGCTGTAAATATTGGTTTCGTGGAGGATGAAAAAAATAATATAAACAATTTATATAGAGACATTACTTTAATGTAATATAAATATTGTTAAGATACAACTCTCCACCCATCACCCAGCAAGGATTTTAAGCTCAACAGTAACCAGCACTGGGGGCAGTACAGTGACGTGGTTAGGGACACAGAGCTGAAGTCAGACAGACCTGGTAATGCTGGAAAGGCATTATGTCCTAAGCCTCATTTCCTCATCTGTGAGTTGGGCATGGCCACCTGTCTTACATGGTATTATGAGGCAAAAATAAAATTGTACCTGTAGTGTCCCTGGCACACACTAGGGCCAGTGTGTCATAAGGACCCATAAAGGGGCTCAAAGAGATCAGGGAGGGCTGTCCCACTGTGAGGCACATTCTCAGGTCATACTGGCTCTGAGACGTGATGAGAGCCAAAGTGCTTATCCCCTTGGCCTCAAGAATGTCACTCTGGATGAAGACATAAGGCAGTGATTTGCCCAGAGAAATTCTTTAGCAGTGGCTGTTACAGAAAAGTGGGGAAAATGGGCCAGAGGCTGCTGTCTGACGGGTCATCTGATGAAGAAACAGGCCCAGACAAGGGGAGCCACGGGAGGGAGGGCATTCTCCTCCCCCAGCAGAACCCAGGGCTGTGTGCACATGTGGATTTATTTTTTTTTAAAGATTTAATTTTATTTATACAAGAGCTGGGGTACAGGCCAGAGTTGCAGGAGGGTGAGAGGATTCACCAGAGACAGAGTGGGGAACAGAACAGGCAGATGGACCAAAAGCACTGCTGAGGGGAGCAGTGGGCGAGACAGGAGAGGTCTGCTGCACCTTGTGGGTAGCTCCCTGGCCAGCCGGGAATTGAACCAGCGCTGCGGAGGCTGCAGACAGCTTCACAGCACTGCGCTCAACCCGCTGCACCATCGGGGAGGTCCCACACATGGATTTAAAGAGTGTGGAAACAGAAAGAGAACCTGGAGAAGCTTAATGTTAACTGCTCAGTAGGGCTTGATTTTAGTTAAGATGTTTAAAGCATGATAGTTTTCTCAAAGGAGAAGCTAAATTTTCCCACTGTTTTGGGGGGTGCTCTATGATGGTGAGGACAAGCCTCTAGGGCCTTTCCATGCACGTTTGCTTGTAGGAAGTGGCCAGGAATCAAACCGACCGAACTCACCATCCAAACCAAGATTCTCCTCCGGAAAACATCATCTATCACCACCAACAAAACGACCCTGGGCCACCTGGCAGCTGTGGAAGCCCGAGATACTGTCTACCTGGTGAGTGGGGTAAAGGGCCCGGATGCGCGCATCCCAGGGAGCACAGGCCGCTCAGCATGGCTGCCTTGGGAAGGAGGGAACATGCCATAGCCTGGTGCCCTGACTTTGGCCCTGGTGCCCCAGGGCAGTGCCAACACCCAGGACAGTCTTGTTACCGGGCATAGGGACATGCATCAGAAGTAATGTCCAGTCCCAGTGATAGCGATGCTGGGCCAGCTCTTTCTGAGCTGTCGCGCAAGCTCTGTGCAGACACACAGCTCTGCCTCCTAAGTGCAGGTAGAATTCAGCCCCTGGAGGAAGCCAGCACCCCTGAGCTCCAGGGAGGCGGCAGCACAGTACAGTGGTTAGGAAGGAGTGCAGAGTCCAGAATCAAGTAGACAGGGTCCTTGTACCTGCTCAGCCTCTTTTTAACTGGGTGAGCCCTGGCAAGGCTCTGAGCCTCAGTTTCCCCATTTATGAAATGAGGAAAACAACTGGACCTACCTGATTGTGTTGAGGAAAATACATGAGACATGGCTTGTGGAATTCTTGCCAGGGCCTGGAGTGGGTAAAGAGCTAGTCCCAGTAGGTAACAGCATATTCCTCTAAGGCTTAGGGTTCAAAAGTCCCTCCCCATGTATCCTCCTCTTGCTGCCTTACTCCCAGAAATATTTAGCATTATTTGAGGAGGAGTTGAAGAAGATCCAGGATGAGAACACAGCACAGGTGAAGGAAGCTCAGTGCTGGAAGGACAGCTGGAAGCACTCTGTGCACATCATCAAAGGCCTGTACTTGTGACTCCCTCAACCCACACAAATAAAGGTTCACTGTATATGGACTCCCTCTCTGTCCATCCATCTGTTCATCTGTCCATCCATCCAACCATCCACCTGTCCATCTATCTGTCCATCCTTTTGTCCATCCAGCCTCCCACATGTCCCTTCTCTGCGTCCAGTAGGTTCCTCCCATGTAAAATATCACTTCCAATTAGGTCCACAGAGATGATGGGGGCGGGGGCATGACTTCTAAGGAGGAAGCCAGCGGTGAAAGGGGAGTCTCCACATGGTTTTCAGGAATGGTGGGCAACAGTACCTCAAAGGAAATAATTTCCAAATAGCATGTTTGACATTTCATCTTGGAAAATAAGATAAAACTTATAGGAAAGAATATATTTTACATTTAACAAAAACATAGGTTATAATTGCAACTGTGATTTCTAGAACCAACAAAGAATTAATCTTGTGTTCTTTGGGTACCTGTCTGGAGACTTGCCTGACCAAATGACAGCCACTTTCATTTTCCTTAGGACTGCTTTCATTCTGTGAAACTCAAGTTATTCTCTTTGAAAACCTCCATCTCAGTCCTCCTTGTCAAATTTCTCCTCCTTGGCAACTTCTCAAGTCATCTAGGATACCAGGTCTCACTTGTCAGCAGCTTTCTATGTCAGTTTCTCAGGCTGCTCACATCCCATCCTCAACTTCATGACTCCTGGATCATGTACCTAATTTGCATCTGCACTTTCTTTTCATTTGCATTTTCATGTCTTGATCTTTGTAATGACTTGATGAGGAAGGCTCTTGCCTCCGTTCTACATACAGGTTCACAAAATCAAGTCTAGAAGGTCAAGATGAGCTGCTCAGAGTCACACATCCAGTGTAGAACCTCAGTAGAGTTTTGGACTACCCAAAAGCAAACAAGGAAGTGGGGGCAAGTCCTTTGTCTTGGAGATGATCCCAAGAAGCGTGAGTGAGGACATGTGGAAAGGGAGCCTAGAAAGAAAGACTCTCACCCTGAGCTTTCCTGAGCCCAGAGCCTCTGACAGTCAAGATATGGCAGGAGAACATCTCGCTCTCTTGAGCGTCTCTCTCCTAGTGAGCTGAATAGGGCACTGTCCCTCCAATGTGGGTGCCTGGTTACTGAGATCTAAGTTCTGCTGGGGTCTATCACCAAGGAAATGAGGTCATTTTTTCAAGATTTCGTTACTTGTGCCTTTACTAAAAAAGAAAAACAAAACAAAACCCCAAGGTCATTCTGGATTACCTCTGCTATCTCTCCCCTCCCTGCCATCTCTCTAATGCCACATAATTAGGCACTAAACCCCATAGTCTTTGGGAAGGCAGCTCATAGACCCAACTGTGAGGAGACAGAGCTGGGTTCTGAATCTCCTCTTCCGGACTGTTCCTGGGACCCTAACAAGTCTTTGTGCCTTTCAGGAGCCCCTAGTTTCCCAGCTTGCTCCATAGATATTACATTAGCATCTACTTCCTAGGGACATAGTCAGGTGAAGACGAGATGATAGCCATAAACCCATGCACAAACTTAGAGATGGAAGAATTATAAGGAACAGCTAGGCGTGGCATGGAATACCACTCAAAATAAGCCTGGACTCTAGCAGTGTCATCTTGGGAAAATAACTTTCTTTTTTGTCCTCATTTCCTGACCTGCACCATGAAGCAGGTTAACTAAAAGGAAATTCAGATATTGTCATCCTCTGGCATAAAACCTTCCAATAAATCTTGTATCTAGAATCATACCCAAATGCTTCATCTCAGCCTATGAGGTGGGCAGGCTCCACAATCATGCCTAGTGACCTCACCTCTGGGTCTCTACTTCCCCATGTAGCCACACATGGCTGATACCTGACTTCTGCCCAATAGAGTACAGCCAAACTGATGGGATGTCATATCCACGATTCAGTTAAGTTTGTCATTTCCCTCTCACTCCTTGTCTTCCTTTCCTCCAGTCCCCCTCTCTATCACATTTCTCTCTCCCTCCTCCCAAGCCACTGACAGTTACTGGTATTTCTACTCTTTCTATAGCTTTTGCCCTTTCCAGAATACAAATAGTTGAAATCACATAGTGTGTAGTCTCTTCAACTGTCTTCTTTCATTTAACAATATGATTTGAAGGGACTCCATGTTGTTTTGTGGCTAGATAGCACTATTTTTTTTAAAGATTTATTTATGCATACAAGAGCTGGTGTGGAGGCCAGAGGTGTGGGGGGTGAGAGGATTCACCAGAGACAGAGTGGGGAACAGAACAGGCAGATTGACTGAAATACACTGCTGAGGGGAGCAGCGGGTGAGTCAGGAGAGGTCTGCTGAGCCTTGTGTGTAGCTCCCTGGCTGGGGGTTGAACTCGTGCTGCAGTGGTTGCGGATAGCTTCATAGGTTTCGTCTTAACCCGTTGCACCACCAGGGAGGCCCTAAATAGCACTTTTTATTGCTGAATAATAGTCTATTGTATGGAAGTACCATCTATCTAAAGACATCTTGATTGTTACTAGTCTGGGGCAATTATGAATAATGGTGTTAAATATTTGTTTGTAGGTTTCGGTATGGGAATACATTTTCAATTCAGTTGGATAAACATCTAGGGGTGTGATTACTGGACCACATGGTACAACTATCTTTAACTTTGCAAAAAGTTGCTGGTCTGCTTTCCAAGGTGGCTGTACCATTTTTACCTTCCAACCAACAATGTTGTTCCACATCGTTGTCAGCTTATGATAATGTCCATTTTTTCCATTTAGCCCTTTTAGTAGGTGTGTGGTGGTATCTCATTTTTGTTTTAATTTTCAACTCTCTAAAGAAATGTTGAATATCATTTTATATGCTATTTGTCAACTGCTTTTGTTCTTTGATGTGGTATCTGTTCAGATCTACTGCCTATTTTTTAATTACTCGAGTTAGTGTTTCTTGAGAATGTGAGTTTGTTTTATTTGTAAGACTTTATTGAGCTATGTTGCCTTCTAGGAATTTTTTGTATATTTTTGGATATGCCTATTTGCCATCTTTATATCTTCTTTACTAAGATAACTGTTCATATCATTTGCCCATTTTTCACTTGAATAATAAATTGTTTTCTTTTTGCTGTATTTGAAGAATTCTTTGTATATCTTGGATATCAGTACTTTATCAGATAAGAGTTTTGCGAATATTGGGCCTCCCTGGTGGCACAGCGGTTGAGCGCTGGGTTGCGAAGCTGCCCGCAGCCTCTGCTGCGCCGGTTCGATCCCCGGCTGCTCCCCGGCCACTGGAGGAGGGCCCCACGTGGCGCGCAGACCTCTCCTGCCGCCCGCTGCTCCCCTCAGCAGTGTACTTCGGTCCTTCTGCCTGCTCTGCTCCCCGCTCTGGCTCTGGTGAATTCTCTCACCCTCCCGCGCTTCTGACTGTACCCAGTGCTTGTGTAAAGAAATAAATAAATCTTAAAAAAAAAAAAAAGTTTTGCGAATATTGCTCCCAATCTGGAACTTGTCTTTTCACTTTCTTTTTTTAAATATTTATTTATTTTTTTATTATTTAAATTTTATTTTTATATTCCCCTTACAATTACAACCCCCTTATTTTGACCCCAAGCCCTCCTTTCCCTGCCCCCCACCCCTCATAGAGTGTCTCTGGTTCATAGTTGTTTGTTGATTTTGATATTTTCTTTCTTATAGTTATTCTTTTTCCTGGTCCCTTATTTAAGTTTTCTAGATTCCTGCTATGAGTGAGACCATCCGGTATTTTTCTTTTTCTTTCTGGCTTATTTCGCTGAGCATGATCCCTTCCAGAGCCATCCATGTTGCTGCAAATTGCATGTGTTTACCTTTTTTGAATGCTGAGTAATATTCCAGGGTGTGTATGTACCACATCTTCTTGATCCAGTCATCTATTTTTGGGCATTCGGGCTGTTTCCAAAGCTTAGCTATTGTAAATAGTGCTGCTATAAACATAGGGGTGCAGGTGTTCTTTGGAATTGATGTTTCTGTGTCCTTTGGGTAAATACCTAGGAGTGGAATTGCTGGATCATACGGAAGCTCTATGTGTAGTAGGTCAAGAAATCTCCACACAGCTCTGCATAGTGATTGTACCAGTTTGCACTCCCACCAGCAGTGCAGGAGAGTTCCTTTTTCTCCACAACCTTGCCAACATTTGTTGTTGCTAGTTTTTTTTAATATGTGCGGTTCTCACTGGTATAAGATGGTATCTCATTGTAGTTTTGATTTGCATTTCCCTGATTACAAGTGATGTTGAACATTTTTTCATATGCCTGTTGGCCATTTGCCTTTCCTCTTCAGAGAAGTTTCTTTTTAGCTCTTCTGCCCATTTTTTGACTGGATTATTTTCTTTGCGTTTGTTGAGTCTCATCAGCTCTTTGTAGATTTTTGTGATCAGTCCTTTATCATTACTGTTGTGTGCAAAATGTTCTCTTTTGCATAGCAGACGTTTTTAATTTCAATGAAGCTCAACTTACCAATTTTTTTTTTCTTTCATGGATTATGCTGTTGGTGTTTTATCTCAAAAGTACCCACAGATCCAAGGTCACCTAGATTTTCTCCTATATTATCTTTTAGGAGTTTTACAGTTTTGCTTTTTATATCTAGGCCTGTGAATGGTTTTGAGTTAATTTTTGTGAAAGGATTGAGACTCCTTTTTTTTTTTTTTTTTTTTTTTTTTGGCATGTGGCTGTCCATTTGTTTTACCAGCATCATTTGTTGCAAAGATTATAATTTCTCCATTGAATTGTCATTGTTCCTCTGTTAAAGATTAGTTGATTATATGTTTTATAGGTCTATTCTGGGTTCTCTATTTAGTTCTGTGGGCCTATCTATTCTTTCACCAAAACCTCATGATCTTGATATTGTAGCTTTGTAATAAATCTTGATGTCTGGTAGTTTCATCCTCTGACTTTGTTCTTTCAATATTGGGTTAGCTATTCTGAGTTTCTTGCTTTTCTATACAAACTTTAGAATCATTTTGCTAATATTCGCAAAATAACTTTCTGGGATTTTGGTTGACATTATATTGTATCTACAGATCAAGTTGAAAAGAACTGACTTCTTGACAACATTGAATTTTCT